AATAGCTACTCCAAGTCTGTGAAGTCTTCATGATCAGAGGAAAAATAATGACAATGCATCTTTTCATAAAGCTAAATTGATTCAGTGTCAGGGACTTTATTCTAAGGTTGTACTCTTCTTATACTTTTGAGTGTTAAAATTTCTCTCATTTGAGAGTATTATCCTAAAATCTACTCTACTTGGCAAAGTAAAATTTGGGGATACTTATTATTACTTTTAATTTGCTGATCTGTGAGACTCTGAAGTCTAGGAACAGGAACCACTGATCTTGACTACCTGACTTGGGAGTCTTTCTGCCTTTTTATGGGAACTTTAAATATCTTCTGTGTTCTATTTTGTATTACTCTTAAATATTAATTGACAGACAGCAATCTTATTTTATGAATTTCTAAATTCTTAGGATCAGTACAATAGCTCATGTTTCCTTTGCCACATAGATTACTATTATAATGCAAATTTCTGTACATGAAGGTCTTTGCTATATTATTTGGTAGAACACCTAAGGCAGTCCCTTAAATTACCTTTGTAGTCTATTACTGTGACTGATCCATCTCCTCTAAAGTACTTACATAAAACATCTCACAAAGGTGTCTATTTTGGTGTCATGTTATAACATTTCCTTTCCAATTACTCTTTATCTCCACCAAGAGCGTCCCCCTCCCCCATGTTAGACTTCAGATTTCTAAAGATCTTTTTTTTCCCCCCTAGGGTCATTATGTGTTATCAGAAAGTCAACCAGAATTGGAAGAAAAGCAAGCTTCTGCTCTCTCAGCAGGAGTCCAGGTTCCAGCAGCTACACACAGTGACTTGGACCCCCAGACCACCAGCCAACAACAGCCTACACAGTACATCATTACAACCACCACCAATGGGAATGGGAGCAGTGAAGTGCATATCACTAAACCTTAACTTCTTCTACCTTTGAGCTTGAATCCAGCGGTCACATCACGTCTTTTCTCATCCATAAGTCCGAAAGCTTCCAATACTTGGAACTCTTTTTTAAGATTTATCATTCACTCAAGAATTTGGAAACCACAGTTTTGACATTCTACACACACTTGGGCTTCTTTTATTAACGTCGTCTTTACCAAATTGACTCTGGGAGCTTCTGCCATGGAATGGAGATCTTTCAGGGGAAAGTGGATTTCAAGGTGGAGAAACTTCACCTTGTACTTGAGTTGGGTTTTTTTTTTTTTTTAACACATTGATAGGCCTTACTTTTCCTTTGTGGAAATATTAAGTGGTATATCACGTTTGTACCAAAGGTGGAGAGAGGATGTGCCAAGTCCATGGCCACTGGACCGCTTCATTCCAAGCCATGGCACCAAAGGAGAGGGGCATTTTATTCCGTCAGAACTGCTTCATCTACTGAGTTTGCATTTTCAGTAATTTAACAAAGGGAGCCTATTGAATATGAAAATAAAGATGATGAAATAGAGGCTTGATAGTGATGTTCTGAAGGAAAAACTGTCGTCTAGATTTTTCTTATTGCTGATTTAAAACAACAACAACTTGCCTCTTTGGGAAAAACTATTGTTGGGCTACTATTGGTAGTGCTTTGCACAAATGCTGGCCTTCAGCCACTTAGACCAGAACCTCCTGGTCTGAGAGATCTTACTTTATTACTCCACAATGGTAGACTCCGTGTAAGAGAAAAGGTTTGTTTGATGTCAGCAGATTTTAAACTCCTACACTAAAATTTTGCCTCCCCTTCTCTGGTTGTGGTGTATTAAAAAGGAGGTATTTGAAATCTCGATACCAAGAAAAATTACTCAGATAATTACATATCTATAAAGTGAAAAGCACTGAAACTTTGTCCTGCCTTGCAGGATCCATTTACCATTCATTGGTAAAGGATAAGTTCCTTGCTCTTATCAGGTGTACATTCAACTCTCACATCATCCAGTGTATTTTAGTACTTCTTATGCTGTCTTAAAATGAACATTCTTTAAGGTTAGGTGGAAAGGTGGCCCTCATTTTTTTTTTTTTAACATTTTTAACTTATACATATTGTAACTCATCTGGACCTTTTGGAAAGATGACCAACTTCACACTTAGGGGAAAAATTAAAATGTGGGGACCATTTATATGTCAAGGTAATTATAATGGATGTGGGAGAAATCCAATCTTTATGCATCTTACACTGTCATTTGGGAGGGAAAAAAATCTGCCTCAGTGACAGTTTTTCTTGTATGTGTTCCTGTTTGCTGTCTTGTTGGCTATGAATTCAACAGGGGGAAAAGATTTCCCTCCTTTTTACTCTGCATTCCAATTGTACACATAAATCATCACAGAAATCAGTACGTATTTTAGCAACTTTTTATCACATACCAACACATTTTTAGAGTAATTATCATGTGATAGAACTTACCACTCCTGAACAGAAAGACCTAACTTCTATTTCAAATGAAGTCAACTAAAGTATTTTATTTACATTTCTGGGTTAAAACTGGTTCTATAAACTAAAGTATAATAGCTTCTTTATAGTACAGATACCTTTTTGAAAAGGAAATGATTCTGTTGAAATAACTAATATGTAGATTTTGCACTTTATTTCTGAGACCTCATTCATTTAGTTATCCCTGAAAATTTGGGCCCTAAAAGAACTTGAGAAAGTTACTTGGGAAATGTGTAGACCCTAGGGATTGGACTCTATCTTTGGTAACAAAGATGTCACGTTGATGTTTTCAATAGAAAATATTGAACCTGAGTCACAAAGCAGAGACTCTGGATCCCAACGTCCCACAATGTAATGATTGTAAATATTCTCGTGTCCAGTCTAGACGGACTTGCTAGACGAAGAATATTAGACTTTGCTAAAGGTCCAGTTTTAATTTTCACACCTTAAATCTGGCCCTTTTGGGTCCTTCTTAATTTGAACCAGCAAAGTACCCCCCCTTCCTCAGGAGTTACTGATGAAAAGAGAAAACTATCACTGAAGGGAATGTTCATTTCATGCCAGTTATTTCAAGTTGTAAAATACACAGACGAAAATGGTTTGGAAGGACCTCTTTGTTTTTTTCCCATTTAAGTTTTTTTTTTTCCTTTTTCTCTTTTTGTACTTATGTGGAATAGGCAAAGGATCTAAAAACTAATTTGTATGTTATCAACCAGAGATGCAGGTGGCAGTCAAGCCAAACTACACTTCTTTAAGATCAGGTATTCTCCACGTTTATTCCAAGTTAATAGATTTTTCAAAAGGACTTGGATTTGAAGAGATGGTGGGTTATGAGCCATCTGAAGACCAATATGGAAAAAAAATGTATGTAGCCAGTGTTTATATTGTGGCCTCTCTTAGGACATATCGGCACGCTAGACTTCAATCAGTGCAGTGTGAAAATTTTGGAATAGGTTACATACAGATTTTACATTTTTATTGTTTGATTTGTGTCCGCATAAATAGTCATTTCATCATGTAAAATTCCTATTGTTCTGGAAAAACCTATTATTTTGATTTTCTTGAATTGTTTTCTGATTTGGAATTATCCTTTCAAAAAACTCTCAAGATATCTAGGGCTAAAAAGCACTTCATGAGATGCTAAGGCTGACCCGCAGGTTGAAAATATTGACCCTATCCTGTTATTTAAATGTGAACATTTATTGTACATTCAGTGAGTTATAGTGTTAATAGTCTTGTGCTACTCAGCAGGTGTAAAAATTAATAAATATTTTTTTTAATAAATATCTTCCTTGTTTGTATTGTGAAGCTACAAGAACTACTGAGATTGTTAGTTTTTTTTTAAAAAAAGGATTTTTATTTATCTGAGAGAAAGAGCGATTGCTGGAGGGGGAGGGACAGAGGGAAAGAGTCTCAAACTGACTCCTGGAGGACCAGAGAGCCTGGTGGGGCTCAATCCCGCAGCCTTGAGATCGACCTGAGCTGAAATCAAGAGTTGTGGCTTAACTGACTAAACCACCCAGGCACCCCTCCCTTTTTTTTTTTTTTTTTTTAATATTTCAATTTACAATGTTTTGACTCTGGATCACGCTGGTCTGGTTAGCACACAATGTAAGTGAAATTAGGGATGACAACTATGGAATGGTGTTCCCCTGCCCTTTTACTTGGTGGTTTCTAACTCAAGAACCTCCCCATGGTCTAACAGGCAGGAACTAAGGGCAGGTGGGCAGCCAGCAGGGGAGCAAAGACTGGGCTTTCTCTGGAAACCACTATTTTCCAACAAGGGAGGAAGGCTCGTTTTCGCCTGGCAGCTTCCCTTCCCAGACGTATTTCCATCCAGTCGAGAGACCAAAGGATGGTCTCTGCACGACTGCAGGGAGTGGCTGTGCATTAAGTCGTCTGAAGCTGTTCTAATAAGACCCAGTGAACGAGAAAGGGACCGGCCTGGATTGCCAACAAGAGGAACGTTTTTAAACGTGTTTCTTCGACGTGTGTATGCTTTCTTTCCGAACACCAGGGCCCCGGGACAGGGGCACAGGCTCCGAGCCTGCGTTTTCCTCCCTGAAACTCAACGAAGCTGCAGTTTCCTCAGCTGTAAAATAGGAACAGTGCCCGGGCACGTACGGGGGCTGGAGAGCGCTCAGCACAGTGGCGGGAGGGTGCGCGCCCTGCAAACGGGCCTCAGCTCCCGGCCAGGTAAAGATGCACTTTATGTTTTTTTTTAAATAGGTACCTTTATTATTCAGTACAGTGAGATTCCTTTTTTTTTTTTCATAAATATTTTTTTTATTTATGAGAGACACAGAGAGAGAGAGGCAGAGGCAGAAGCAGGCTCCATGCACGGAGCCCGCTGTGGGGCTCCATCTCGGGTCTCCAGGATCACGCCCTGGGCCGAAGGCAGCGCCGAGCCGCTGAGCCGCCGGGGCTGCCCCTAAAGCCGCGCTCCGCAAGCTTCTGCGGCAGGTGAGACCGAGCGGCCGCGTGCAGCCAGCAGCCCAACCCAAACCCAGCCGCGCGGCCCCGCCCGGCCCCCAGGCCCCGCCCGGCCCCCAGGCCCCGCCCCTCCGGGCCCCGCCCCTCCAGGCCCCGCCCCTTCCGCCGCCCGAGCCCGGAGCGTGCACGCACTGAGACGCCTTGCGGGAGCGAGCGCGTCCCGGAGCCCGCGGGCCGAGAAGCGCTGCGGGTTGGGGGACCCGCGCCTGCGGCTCAGGTGAGGGCGGGCCCGGGACGGCGGAAGGGTCGGCGTGTGGCCGGGCAGAGGGGAGAGCGAGCGGCCGGGCCCCGAGGGTCGCGGCTGCCGTAGGCCCGGGGCAGGGCGGCGGGCGAGGGGCAGCCGGGCGGTCGGGGGCGGGGTTAGGGTTAGGCGCGGCGTGGGGGAGGGGCCGAGCGCGCGGCGGGGCCTCTTGGAGGGGCGGGGCCGGGCCGCGGGCGGGGCGGGGCCACGGGCGGCCGGGGGCGGGGTTAGGGTTAGGCGCGGCGTGGGGGAGGGGCCGAGCGCGCGGCGGGGCAGCCTGGAGGGGCGGGGCCTCGGCGGGGCGGGGGCGGGGCCACGGGCGGGCGGGGGCGGGGTTAGGGTTAGGCGCCCCGTGGGGGAGGGGCCGAGCGCGCGGAGGGGCAGCCTAGAGGGGCGGGGCCTCGGCGGGGCGGGGCGGGGTTAGCTGCAGGCCCGCGGGTTGGGAGCGGGCGTTTGCTCCGGAAGCCGCCCCGGGTGGAGCTTGGGCGTTGGGGACCTTGGGGAGGGTCCCGGGGGCAAGGCTGGCCCCGGTGCGGGAGCCACCCCGCTGGGCCGGTACGCAGGTCCCGGCCGCCGCAAGACCCAGAAATCCTTGGCTTCCGGGGTTCCGACCCTCGGGCTAGCCCCCCCTGCTTTTTTGTATTTTGAGATCCTATTCAGAATAGTAGCAGGGCCGAGGTGGCCACTCGAATAGATTAAATTCAGTTACACGTCTGTCGTAGTCGAAGAAACTTGCGAACAAGTTGTGGAAACGGGCGATCCTCCTCCAAGAGTCACTGGAACCCTGGCTTTGCCCTTTTTACCCTGTTCTGCATCAGTTTGTAAAGAGGACCTTGCTCTAAGCATCAGGTTGCTTCTGCAAATCTCGCTATTTTAAAGTTTTCTTAGACTCCCGCACCGTGCGCTTTCTCACCTGCTTCAGTTCCTTAGGCACCAAAAATGTTGAGGATGCTGCAAATCCCCAGGTACTGAAAGGTGACGGAGCACAGTCGTTTGGAGACCCATCTGCTTTACCCAGCACTAATCTTGCTGCAGAATCTTTACATAAATCTGAAATCTCTAAAATAGAACTTGAAATAATTTGTGGGAACATACCTATTTTAGTAGTAGTATTACAGCTCTGCTTTTTATCGTTTAAAAGAGTTTTGGAATCAGAAGTCGTTAACATTACGATGCTTATATGAGTGCATTAAGTCATATAAAGTGTCCTCCATCTGGAGATTATTTATTGTAGGATTCCAAGGTTGGAAATAACAGAAGACCTGGTGCAGCTCCCCTTTGTCGTGCAAGTAAGGAAATCGACACCTGTCAAGGTAAGGTTTGTCTTAGGTCACCGAGATTGGGCTAGAAGTTTGGCATCTTGACTCTTAAGTCTTTTTTTTTTTTTTTTCCATTTTATCGTGCTTGTTAGTCCATTTGGTAGGACTAGGAGATAGAATTGACTTAGCAGAGTGGTAGAGTAACTGAGTTCATGCTCTCTGTGTTCAATCCTATGGCCTCAGCTTTACAGATGATACTTGCCATTAGCCTAACAAGATGCTCTCTGAAGATTTTTTTTTTTTAAGATTTATTTATTTATTTGAAAGAGATAGCACAAGCAGAAGGGACAGTGGGAGAGGGAGAGTCTCAAGCAGACTCCTCACTGAGCGTGGAGCCCGACTTGGGGCTTGATCTCACCACCCTGAGATCACAACTTGAGTCAAAACCCAGAGTTGGATGCTCCCAGGCACCCCTGTAAAGATGTTTTGATATGTCTATTTCTAAAGATGACCGGCAGTGTTCAGTTATTACAGGAAGGAGAAAAGTAGCATTACATTTACGTGGTTATAAATACCAGATGGACCTTTATTTTTATTTATTTATTTAAAGATTTTATTTATTCATGAGAGACACAGAGAGAGAGAGAGGCAGAGACACAGGCAGAAGGAGAAGCAGGCTCCCTGCAGGGAGCCTGATGTGGGTCTCCATCCTGGGTCTCCAGGATCATGCCCTGGGCCAAAGACAGTGCTAAACTGCTGAGCCATCTGGGCTGCCCTCAGATGGACCTTTAGTTGGTAGATTGGCTACTACGTTTACTGGCTGTTGTGGTCGGTCAGGTGCTTGGAAACCCCAGAGTTTATGTGGACTAAAGTCATACTAACATACTCCTCTTTCATAATTCCAACTGAGAGTTTATACAAGAGGTGTAGTGTTAAAAATGTGTGTGTGTAGTCGGGCAGACTTGAGTTTCATTCATTCATTACCCCGAGATTGGGTAAGTTATATATCTACTTTGATCCTCAGTTTTAATGTCTGTGGAATAGATCTGAAGAACCTGTCTTGCACAGTTGTAGGAATTAAATGAGATGCGTGAAAAGGCCCGGCACTTAATAGGCCCTCATTAAAAAACTTACTGTTAGTGTCTGAGCTTTACTAGTCTATATGGGTGATGTTTCTTTGTGCAAGCACAACAGAGGATTACTAAAAAGACCAACAGTAATAGTTAAATTTTTTTATGAAATTTTTTTTTAAAAAGATTTTTATCTATTTGAGAGAGAGAGTGCACAAGTATGAGCAGAGGGAGGGACGGAGGGAGAGGGAGAAGCAGGAGCAGGCTACCCGCTGAGCAGGGAGCCCGATGTAGGGCTCAATCCCAGGACCTGGGGGTTACGACCTGAGTCGAAGGCAGATGCCACCCAGGTGCCCCAAGAAATTATTTTATGGTAGATTATTGGCCTGAGAAGTCAAAGTTATGAACTCTGATCTGTTTATCATTTAATCTCCAAGTCTCATTTTGCTTCATTGTGAAATGAACATATAAGAAATTCTGTAAATTTGGGAGTTACTCTAGGAGCATTCTGAGCAACAAGAGTCCGAACTAGAAAAGATTTGAAGATTGAGATGAGAATGCCGTGATAGAAGAGAGAAGAGGTGTGTAGCTGTAGTGAGGGTACGAGGATAAGGTATAAAACTAGATTTGAGTTTGACTACTATTTGAGTCAGAATACTTTCTGAAGGAGCATCGGTATCAATCAGATCCCTGGGAATCCTGCCTTTCTATCTGGAGGTATGACTGTGTGTATTTGTCTAGATTATCTGTGGCACATAAACAATGGATTCCTTGGACCATATGCTGACGGATCCCCTGGAACTGGGTCCATGTGGCGATGGCCATGGCACACGTATTATGGAGGACTGCCTCCTGGGGGGCACCAGGGTTAGTCTGCCCGAGGACCTTCTGGAGGACGTAAGTAGTAGCGGCGCCACTGTCTTTTCTCTGGCACCTTGCCCCTAACCACAATCCTAAGCCTTTTCCACACTTTACAAGTTTTCAGTCTTTTATGCTTCTTTTGGTTTCATTTTCTATATTGCAGCCAGAGTGATCTCTCTCTCTTTCTCTTTTAATGTAACATCTTTAATATTGTGACTCGAGAAGAAAGTGTAAGGTATATACTTAAGTTTTATTTTTAACCAGATAGTTTTGAGCAGTTAACAAGAAATTATATATTTTAAGAACAAAATTATGAACGTGTTTATGTTAAATTGGTTACTCACATTGTGGATCATGAAACAAAACCCAACATACTGTATCTGTCCATAAAGTAAACCTCCGGTCAGTTAATAGGACGTGTCCTGGGTTGGGATTTTGTGCTTTTGGCTCCTTTCACAGGTAGGCTGTGTAATCATCATTATCATTAAGGTAGCTATCACCTACTAAGTGCTTATTGTGTGCAAGACACTATGTGTGCCAAAGCCTGTATTTAGTTATCTTGTTCACTTTGCTGTGTTCCACATATACAGACAGGTGTAGAGCGTCCTATAGCAAGCACTCATTTGTGCATCATCCAGTTTTAGAGATAATTGCATTTAGTCATACCTGGTTCAGATTTTTTTCCCTAATATATCAAACATAGATAAAATTAAAGCCACTACTTGTTCTCTCTGCCTTCTGAAGTAATAAGTACTGACGTTGACAGATCCTTCTCATCCACGTTTTCTTTGCACACTCTTTCAAATAAGTCTTTTTATGTTATTCATTTAGTCAGCAAACACTTGTTTTATTAAGTGCCTAATTGTGGCAGACACTGAGATACTAGGAATAAAGTGGTGTCCAAAAAATAGCTTTGCAGGGGAAGATCTTTGACACTGAGGTACTGTAGTACATGCGTGCACAGATGCCTGGTAGGTGGTCGGATTTCTGGTTGTCTTCTGCTGAAGCCGTTTGGTGGCTCTCCATTGTCCTTAGATAACGTCGCAAGTGCTTAACATGTTTATAGGTCCCTTGCTCTTCTGTCTTCTGTCTGAAGCTCCCTCTCCCTTTGTATCCTTGCACTAGCCGTACGTTGCCTCAACTCTCATCGTTACTAGAAAAGTGAACCTTATCACATGTAAGAAGAGTATATAAATAAATCCATATATATATGGTGTATATATAGTTTAAGGAGTGATAAAACAGCCATGTAGCTCCTACTTGGGTTAAGAAGTAGAATGCTGCTAATACCATTCAAACACCCACAGGTAATTGCTATCCTTTCTTTTATAGTAATTCTTCCATTTTTATGATTTTGCTCTATGGATTTTTAATTTTTTGTTTGTTTATCTGTAAGTAATCTCTATGCCCAGTGTGGGGCTTGAACTTTATGACCTGCATACTCTACTGACTGAGCCAGACGCCTCTGCTCTGTGGAGTTTTAACTCTCCTGCTTCAACTTTTTTTTTTCTTTTTTCTTTATTTTATCCCTTAACTCTTTTATTTTTATTTTTTATTTTTTTTAAGATTTTATTTATTTATTCATGAGAGACAGAGAGAGAGAGGCAGAGGGAGAAGCAGGCTCCATGCAGGGAGCCCGACGTGGGACTCGATCCCGGGTCTCCAGGATCAGGCCCTGGGCCGAAGGCGACACTAAGCTGCTGAGCCCCCCAGGCTGCCCCCTTAACTCTTTCAAATGTTACTTCCTCTGTTCTCCAACACCTTGGGTGTGGGACATGGGCTGCTCCTGTGTACATACATCAGTGCTTCTCAGGCTACATTATAATTGCTTGTGTCCCCCTCTGACAGTGTGTATGCTAGTCTAGCTTAGTACTCAGCACATACAAGACAGATAAACGGTATATAGTTGAGCTGAAAATGAACTCCATCCTGCTGCTTGTCACTCTTCACAGGTGACTCAATCCCTCGTATTCTTTCCTCCGTAACTTTTTCTTTCCTCTCGTCTTAAACTAAATTCAGTTGTCCATCCTACCTACCCCTTGTTGGTAGAAATGGTTTCCAAATGAGATTCTCTCTACTGAGGTCATTTTTCCTTTGGATTATTAATTACTGTTGGGTGTAAGATAGTGGTTTTTATATGTAGTTATTGCTAATCTCTAAGATTTGTGAATTGAATAAAGATCAGTGATGTTTTGGTTTAAACAAACTTAAAAATTTGGATATAGTGATGGTTGCACAACAGTGCGAATGTATTTAATACCACTGAGCTGTACAGTTAAAAATGGATAAATGGTAAACTTTATGTTGTGTATATTTTGCCACTCACAGAAAAATTTAAAGCTTGCTTTTCTGTTGTTTATTTTTCTCTTGCTTTTCCTGATTGTCCTAGCCTGAGATATTCTTTGATGTAGTCAGCCTCTCAACATGGCAAGAAGTATTAAGTGACTCTCAACGTGAACACCTCCAGCAGTTTCTGCCTCACTTTCCTGAAGACAGTTTTGAGCAGCAAAATCAGCTCATCCTAGCCCTGTTCAGTGGGGAGAACTTCCGCTTTGGGAACCCTCTGCACATTGCCCAGAAACTTTTCCGAGGTATGTAGCTTGGCATCCTTTGAGAGCAGTGGAAGAGTAAGAGTGTGTTCACTTATGTGAATGCTTCTTTCTTCGTATATTGTATTGATTTTCATGTACTGATTGATACTCAGACCATGTGGGACCCTTTGCCTAGACTCTTTTTTTTTTAATAAAAATTTTTAACTTACACAAGAAATACATTGATTTATTGTAAAATGAACTTGACTCTGTAACCACCACCCAGATCAAGAAATAAAGCATTATTAGCATCGTATAAGCACTCTTTATGACTAGTCTTTAAAAATTTTTCAAAATAGTTGTTTATCATTTGCTTTATCACACGTACATATGTATGTGTATATGTGTATTTGTATGTCACACATACACTTTTTTTTTCCTGCAGAAAACATGATACTTTACTGCCAAGCACTTCAGTATGTATGTATCTCCTAACGACATTCTACTATATCATCACGTCTTATTATCACACCCAAGAAATTTTATAATGATCAAATATCATAGGAGAGCTCATATTCAAATATTCTCACGTCTTCCCTAAATCTTCTTTATAGTGGCTCTTTTATTTTTTCCTTTTAAATTTAGGATCTATTCAAGGTTCATGCATTGTGTTTGGGTTACACATCTCTTGGCTTCCTGAACCTCTGCCCTTTTTTCTTTTGTCTTTCAAAAACAATGACTTTTTTTTTAATTTAAGTGTAGTTGACATGCAATATCATATTATCTTCAGGTGTACATCCTGATTCTCGGTATATTCTCAAGTGATCACCATGATCACCGTGATACATCTAGCTACTATCTGTAACCGTACAAGTTCTTACATGTTAACTCTGTGGAAGAGTAAGTATATGCTCTGGGTCATCCATGTTGTCTCAAATGGCAAGATTTCATTCTTTTTTTAGGCTGAGTAATAGTCCATTATATACATAAACTATTTATCCATATATCCCTTTTCATCCATTCATCTATTGATGGATGCTTAGTTGCTCCATGGCTTGACTTGTGTACATAATAATACATAATACATAGGGATGCATATATATGGTTTTTGAATTAGTGTTTTTGGTTTCTTCAGATAAATACCTAGAAGTGGGATTGCTATAGTAGCTCTGTTTTTAATATTTTAAGGAACTCCATACTGTTTTCCAGAGCTGCTACATTTCTCATCCCACCAACAGTGCACAAGGGTTCCATTTTCTCCACATCCTCATCAATACTTATTTTATCTTGTCTTTTCGGTGATAACCATTCTCATAGGTAAAGGTGATATCTTGTGGCTTTGATTGGCATTTCGTTGGTGATGAGCATCTTTTCATGTGTCTGTTGGTCACATGAAACCATATCCTTTGCCCATTTTTGATTGGATTATTAGGAATTTTTTGGTGTTGAGTTGGAGTTCTTTATATAATTTAGATAATAACCCCTCATTGGATATATCATTTGCAGATGTTTTCTCCTGTTCAACAGATTGCTTTTTGTTTTGTTGATGGTTTCCTTTGCTTTCCTTGGTTCTCTAGTTTGATGTAATTCCATTTGGTTTTGGTTTTTGTTGCCTTTGTTTGAGGAGAGAGCCAAAAAAATAATGCTTTATTGCTTATATTGTTGTCCCAAGGGTTTACGTCTGTGATTTCTTCTAAGAGTTCTATGATTTTCAGCCTTACATTTAAGTGTTTAATCCATTTTGAGTTTTTGTGTCTGATGTAAGAAAGTGGTCCAGTTTTCCCAGCACCAGTTATTGAAGAGACTCTTTTCCTTATTGTATGTGCTTGTCTCCTTTGTTGTAAATTAATTGAGTGTAGGTTTATTTCTGGACTCTATTTTGCTTCATTCATCTGTGTGTCTCTTTGTGCTACGACCGTTGTGTTGTGATTGCTGTAGCTTTATGGTGTAGATTTAAATAAAGGAACATGGACTCTCCAGCTTTGTTTTACTTTCCCAAGATTGCCTTGGCTGTTTGGGATCTTCTGTGGTTCCATACAAAACACACTGATACTTTTGAAGAGCCCAGGACACTTGTAAAATATCTTGCTTTCTGGGGAATTGTTCTTGTTTCCTTATCATCAGATTTGGGTCAAACATTTTGCCAAGAAAACTAGATGGACGTGTTACTTCTTTCCCACCGTTACCTTAGGAGGTATGCAATGTCGGTGTTTCCAGCGTTGATGATGTGTTTGATCACTTGGTTAAGTGGCGTCTGCCGGGCATACTGATTCTAACAGTACCTTTTTACCTTCATAATTAAGGAAAAATGTAGGATGATATTTGGGACCATGTGATAGTTTTCTTTCCCAAAAGCCTGGGTTTTACTCAGTGGTTTAACATCCATTAACTATCCTTGCCCTGAATCAGTTACTACATTGGAGACTGCAGAATGGTTTGGGGCCACTATTAAGCCACAGATTCCTCTCTGTTCAGTTGACAGGAGCAGAGGAAGCCTCTTCTCCCCTTTCTGTAGTGACTTTGCCTTGGCAGGAGGCCCTGAAAGTAGAGATACCATGATAGCTACAAAAGCCTGGAGTGGACAGGCTTATCATTGCAAAACTTTATTATCTCAGCTCATTTAAAACTAGCATTCCCTCCTTTGGTGAGTTACTGGTTTAAAGAGGAATTCTCCTCTGTCATTGGCAAAGGTTTACATCCCTGCAGCCAGGGGCTTCAGGTGGGCATAAACTATCTTTTCCAATAGAGCCTGCCTGGTTTTAGAGGGGTTATGTCAGGGACCTTGTGTACTGTTTGCACTGTCTGTTGTGCTGGCCTCTTTCTCTCCGACACAGTATGATGGTGATGTGAATATGCAAACAAGGAATGTCAAAGAAGGATTCCTGCGGGTTTCACTCTGTCAGCATTCGGCAGTCTCATTTCAGTTCTAGTGTTGCTGCAGACAGGTGCATTACCATGGTTATCAGTCTGTTTTCACTTATCCTTTCTTTTTTTTAAGATTTATTTATTCATGAGACACACGGAGAGGGGGAGGGGGCAGAGACAAAAGCAGAGGGAGAAGCAGGTTCCATGCAGGGAGCCTGATGTGGGACTCGATCCCTGAACCCCAGGATCACACCCTGGGCCAAAGGCAGACGCTGAACCACTGAGCCACGCAGGCGTCCCTGGTTATCTTTTCTGATTCTGTTTTAAGTATTTACCTTTTCCTTAAGTTCCACATGCTAATCAAATTCTTGCTTCCTGCTTCATACCTTTATCTTCTGTCATAAACTTCCCGCTTCTTGTTTCCAGCTGGCACCCCAGCTCACTGTATTCATTTCCAGTCTGACCTACTTTACATGTCTCAGGAAGAAGGAGTTTTGTCTTCTGTTTAAGATTAACCTCTGCTCTTGATCCTTTATCCTTCACCTCCTCTGGAACCGTTTTTCCTCAGTGAACCATCCCTTCCATCCTGTGTATTCACTCTAGATTATTCCTCACTCCACTTGTTCTTCTTCAGCCTATGGGTGTGTTCAGGGGTCTCACACTAAAAAAAAAAAAAAAAGTCCTTGACCATCTGTCTCCTCTGTTGTCCTCTGTCATTTGCCTTTTTATCTCCAGGCTTATTGAAAGACCTGCATACTTGTCCCTTTTATTCATTCTGCCCCTGTTCCCTGGTGGCTCTTCTTTGATTATCTCACAGGGAGCGATCCAACACCACCCTGACCTCTTGTCTCCCTCGACTTTGTTACTTTGAAATCTGAGCTACATATAGAAAAGTCATAAGACTTTATCATGGACACCTATATACAGTTGACCCTTGAGCAGTGCAGGGGTGAAGGGTGCCTGCTTCCCACTTGGTCACAAATCCATGTGAAACTTTTGACTGCTCCAAAACTTAATAGCCTAGTATTGACTGGAAGTCTTAGCTATAACGGTTGATTAACACATACTTTATATGTCATGAGCATTACATATTGTATTTTTAAAGTCAAAAATGCTATTAAAATCAGAAGGATGATACATTTACAGTGTAGACTGTAAAAAATTCAAGTGTAAGTTGACCCACACAGTTTGAACTCATATTGTTCAAGGGTCAGCTGTACTCTTCACCAGTCTCACCAACTGTTAAAGTTTTGCCACATTTACCCTCTTTACATATTATTATTGCTATCATTTTTTGCTGAACCAGTTGAGAGTGTTGCAGACGTTGCACCCCTAAATTTTTCAGCATTTATCTCTAAAGAATAAGAACACATGGTCAAATTCAGAAATACTGTAAATACAGAATTTTTCTGTATTTAAATTTTGTATGTAATATAAAATGTAACATTGACAGTCTGTTATCTGATATATAGTCCGTATACATATCTCACCAGTTATTTCAGTGAGCTTTTCCATGTCTCTTTTGTGAGCATGTAATTTCCAAACAGCCTACTATGCTTTTTATTTATTTTTATTTTTTTTTTTTAAAGATTTATTTGAGAGCAAGAGAGAGTATGAGAGCACACAGTATGAGAGCTGAGAGAGAGGAAGAATCCCAAGCCGACTCCCCACTGAGTGTGGAGCCTGTCTTGGGGACTTGGTCCCATGACCCTGAGATCATGACCTGAGCTGAAATCAAGAGTTGGTGGTTTAACCGACTGAGCGAGCCATCCAGGCGCCTCCCCCCCCCCCCCCCCGTAGATGGTTTTTAGTTCTTTACTTGGTCTTTGCACAGCATCTACAGTTCTTTTTTCTTTTTAATTTTATTATCTTTATCTTTAATGAGCTCTGCACCCAACATGGGACTTGAACCCATGACCCCAAGATCAACAGTTGCATGTTCTACCGACTGAGGCAGTCAGGTGCTCCCATAGGGCCCAACATCTACTGTCTTTACCACTTTCTTCATCTTAAGACTTTCCCCCACTTTGCGTCAGTGACTCTTCCCTGGCCTGTATTTCCTCCTCTGTCTTTGACACCCTCCCCTCTCCCCTCCCCTACTTCCTTTGGTAACCCCTCTTCCACTCATTGTTCCTGTCTGTGTTACCGCTGTTGAGGCTCTGTTCTTATATCTGTACTTGCCTGCTTTCAGTCATCATCTCTTCACTGATGATTCTTGCCTGGGCTGCTTTAGTAGCCACCTCCACGTAGCTACCAGAGCGAGTTTCTTAAAACCTCACTTTTCAGAATATTTAACAGTTGCTGTCATTTGAAATAAAACTCATTGCCTATGAGGCTGTATGTGACCTGGCCCCTGCCCACTTACCCAACTTCATCTGGTACTACTCTCTTCTTTTCTCACTGTTACCTAGCCCAGTGCAGGCCAGTAGAAATATTACATGGGCTGGGGCTCCTGGGTGGCTCAGTTGATGAAGCGTTGGACTCTTGTTTTTTTGGCTCAGGTGATCTCAGGGTTGTGAGACTAAGCTCTGTGTGAGGCTCCCTACTCAGCAGGGAATCTGCTTCTCTCCCTCACTCTACCCCCATATACACACACACACACACTAAAATAAATCCTTAAAAAAATTACATGAGTTGTGTGTTCAAATTAAAATTTTCCAGCAGCCATAATAAGAATTGTAAAGGCAGGGGCACCTGGGTGGCTCAGTCGGTTAAGCGTCTCCCTTTGGCTCAGGTCATGATCCCAGGGTCCTGGGATAGAGCCTGGTGTCAGCTGTCTACTCAGAGGGGAGCCTGCCCCTCCTACCCCAACCTCGTGTGCACGTGCTCTCTTTCTTTCTTTCTCTCAAATAAATAAAATCTTTAACAAAAAAAAAGAATTGTAACAGCAGTTAATTTTAATATACTTTATTGTAATGATTATTTTCAATAGTATTTTTCTTAATATATCCAAAATAGCGTTTTACTTTTTAAATTTTGTAAAAGATTTTATTTATTTATTCATGAGGGAGACAGAGAGGCAGAGACACAGGCAGAGGGGAGATGCAGGCTCCTCGCAGGGAGCCCGACGTGGGACTCGATCCCTTCTCTCCAGGATCACGCCCTGGGCTGAAGGCGGCGCTAAACCGCTGAGCCACCCGGGCTGCCCCAAAATAACGTTTTAGCAGAGATGTAGCATTAAATGGCTTTCAAAAAGTGGAGGAAGCTAAAGACTGAAGGAACATGATTTGAAGAAGTATAGAGACCAAGACGTTAGTCCAGTTTGTATATATCAAACAGCATCAGCGGCATTGAACTCTAGGCTCGTTTCTTGATGGTCGCAGCTCCTGTTTCTCTACAGTAGGCAGCATAGCATGATGGGTAAGAGCTTGGACTCTGGAGCTGGACTACCTGGGCTCAAACCTGCTTTCCTCTCTTACTAGTTCTGTGACCTTGTACAAGTTACTAACTTCTCGCTGCCTCAGTTTTTCCAGCCGTAAAATGAGGATTTAGTAGTGTCCTCATTTTATGGGCTTGTTACAGGATTAAATGAATTAATATATGCAAGGTTCTTACATAGTGGGAGCTGTCAGGGACTGTCTTAAATGAGCATTTGCTGTTATTAGTTACCTTGGGCAGTGCTAGGGTGGTGTACTTTGACCCCTCATTTTAGCTTTCTGAAATTAGCTTTTCAGTCTTTCTGTCTCAGTTTTCATCATGGCCTAGCTGCTCAAATTTGATATGTCCGAAAAGGACCTCTCTTTGACCTTTTTATCTCGTGATGATATTAGTTGCTCATGTCCAGCAATCAGGGTACCATGCTCAGTTGACCTCTGCATGACCTTCCCATCCTTCCCCGATATCTGAACTATCAGCTGGTTTATCCCTTCTCCCTCAGAAATGTATCTCAAGTCTGCATACTTCTGTGCACGTAACCACTGTTTTGCTTACTAGTCAGCTAATATGTGCCAGACATTCTTCGAGGTTCTGAGAATATGGTAATAGTCTTACATTCTGATAGGGAAAAACAGATGATGAACAAGCAAATACTTATGGGCATTTGGTACTTCAGAGAAATGAGGGTGATGGGACTAAAGTGACAGGAGGGAGCTGGTGTAGGTGTGGTAGTTGGCCAAGGCTTCTCTGATGAGCTGATACCAGGACAGGGCCTTAATGAGGGTAGGGGGAGCAAGCCGTGAGAATACTGGGCATTGGTAGGAAGCATCACAGGTAGAGGGAACTTTAAGTGCAAAGGCCTTGAGAAAGCGCCTGAACACAGGTGCACAGCCTGTTCAGGAAACAGCATGGAGGCAAGTGGGCCTGGGCTAGAGGGAGCACATTGGGGACTGGTGGACAGTGAGGCCAGAGGCAGCCCAGGACAGATCTTGAGGGGCATGACAGGCCGTCTTTTGGACCTGAGCTTCTGTTCTGAGTGTGGAGGGAAGCTGCCAATCCCCTCTCACCTGGAGCCTCTGCGAGAGTTTTCCTTCATCCTCTTCTGCTCTCCGCCACATCATTCTCCTGCTTTAAACTCTTCAAATGATTTCCGTTGCACTTAGGGTAGAATCCAGCTCCACCCGTGACCTGTAGGTGTCTGTGTGGTTGAATCTTCCTGCCTCCTGGGGCGTCATCCGCCCCCCTCAGCTCCAGCCCACTCTGCGTCAGTCGTACAGACATTTCCTCAAGGTTTGGGACATGCAGAGTTCTTGCTTCAGATCCTGCCTTAGCCACAGGCTGTTTCTACTGCCTTTTCCCCATTTTTACTTCTTATTTTTAAATTCCCATTGATTTTCCTCCCCATGGTTTGTTTTGAAAAAAAATTTTTTTTTTTACAGATTTTATTTATCTGTTCATGAGAGACACACAGAGAGAGGCAGAGACACAGGCAGAGGGAGAAGCAGGCTCCCTGTGGGGAGCTCAATGGGGAACTCGATCCCTGGACCCCGGGATCACACCCTGAGCCAAAGGCAGACACTGAACCACTGAGCCACCCAAGCACCCCTTGTTTTGAAAATTTTTAAACATAGGAAAAGTTGGTAAATAGTATAACAAACATCTGTATAACTTCTACCAATATTTTGTTAATGTTCTGCCACAATTGCTTTAATCAGGCTTCATTTTATGTTACTCTTTAGAGATCCCTTTTCTGAATATACCCCTCCTTTCTACAGTTGTTTCAAATTGATTTCATATAGTACTTAAGAAAAAGTGTCTGTTTACCTGTTTATCTTTTGTCTCCTTTGGACTGTTGGCTCCACATTCACATAGACTGTTCTTTTTTTCTTCTGTACTATATTCCAGTTTAATACCAGATTTTAAGTACGTATTAAGTATTTTTTGGCCTGTGAACATATGTGCGTGTTATATATATATATATACACACACTAGTGCCTCTGTTCTTTTAAGATGGACACTTTAACCCAGAAGTGGTGAAGTACCGGCAGCTATGCTTCAAATCCCAGTACAAGCGCTACCTCACCTCCCAGCAGCAGTATTTCCATAGGCTGCTGAAGCAGATCCTGGCTTCCCGGAGTGTAAGTAATGCTGGGAACTGGATATGAGACATGGACAGTGAATCTCATGACATCAAGACGTGGTTCAGGTACCAAATACAAAAAGTAGCACTAGGGAGAAAATGTTATCAGTTTAAGCCATGACACAGGCTGTATCATCCTTTCCTATTTATTGGAAGATGTAACCTGATTTCAGAGATGAGAAAATGTGAAAAAGATGTCTCTTAAAACCGAGGAAATATCATAGCTTCAGTATTTAGCAAAGTAAACAAATGGTTTTGAGACCCCATCATGGGTTAAGGAGAAGCAGGTGGCTCTGCAATTGATGTGCGAGAGCACACAGGCCTCCACATACCCTGATGGATGAATAGTGCACCAGGCTTCATGGCCCCGAGATCTGGCCCAGTGTGGTAATCTTTGAGGCACGATTGTTGTGGTTTTAAGTGGATTTTAAGCTTGGCTATGGAAGCAGTTGGGTGTCCAGTATGATAAGTATTCATCCTTGAGGGAGCAGTTTGCTAATCAGATTTAAGATGTTTTGCCATGTGGTAATCAGTAGAGACTCTTTATTTGGACACGTTTTACATGTGCATCTCTGGTGATGTAAAGGGAGAGGACTGAGCTTGTTAAACAGTGAAGAGAAGAAAATGTAGACCTGGGGAATGCACCAGAGCAAGCTTTGGATGACGGCGTGTATCCTCATCTGATCTCTTCCTAGGACCTACTGGAGATGGCCCGACGAAGTGGCCCAGCCCTGCCCTTCCGCCAGAAGCGCCCTTCGCCATCCCGCACACCTGAGGAGCGGGAGTGGCGGACCCAGCAGCGCTACTTGAAGGTCTTGAGGGAAGTGAAGGAGGAGTGTGGTGACACAGACCTGTCATCTGATGAGGAGGGTGAGTGTCTGTGGGCACGTGGGGTGCCAGGCAGCTTGTTGTTCAGTTGGAGCCAGTGGTAGCCATTTATCTCCCAGGAAAGAAGTCATCCCAGTTGTCTCTCTTGGGGGGTGGATAATGGGACTCAGAACTCCATAGTCTTTGGGCTCTGAGATGTTCCTATTAGGTGGGGGTGTGACTGCATACCTTTTTTACCCTTGATGCCTAAGTGGCATTTGAGTTTAGTTGACTCCCTGCGTGGCAGGGCTCTCCACAGTAGGCCTTCTGGTCCTATTGTGCCACTTGAGAGAACTGCTTTTCCCCTTACAGGAGAGTAGTAGTGACTGTTGGCCTGCTGCAATGCGACCCCATCACTCTGTTGAAGTCTCTCTTCCTGGAAGAGCCGTTTAAATGACCTAAGTGTGCTCCAGTTCGTCTGGAGAAGGGTCAGAAAGGAATGGTGGAACCCTGGCCTCCATGTTGTTGGCTTAACCTTGTTGAACCCAAATGGCCACTTACCCAATCTCCCCTATTGGAGTCCACAGCCACGTTGGATTTACAAGAAAAATTTTCTTTTGAAGATCTCAGCTCATGGCTTCCGAGCTCTCCAGCGCGTTCTCCTAGCCCTGCGGTGCCCCTGAGGGTGGTGCCCACGCTTTCAACTACGGATATGAAAACTGCAGGTGAGAACTGAGTGATGTTATGGACGTTTTGGGAGATCAGGACATAGATCTGAGAGCTCCCTTAGAGGGAGGTGGGCACTGGATTCTTACCTGCCAGGGAATTGGAGCACTGTTCCCTAGAAGTAGGAGATGGGGTGAAGTTTCTGTACACTTCCACTTTAGTACAAGTAGCTAGGCCTTCATTCCTTCCTTCCTTTGTTTTGAAACTTTTCCTTAGGAGCTGCTCAGGTGGTATTTTGGGCTAAAGAAAGTAGATTGATAAAATAGCAATACATAGGGACAGTTCAATAATAGAACAAGAGAGATAATCAGAACCATAATAATTTTTTAGAAGGTCTGTGAAATTAGAGAAAAACTTTTAATTGGATAGGAATAGCATAGAGATCGAAGAAGAACATTAAGAACTTTTGAGGTGGGGATCCCTGGGTGACTCAGCGGTTTAGCGCTACCTTTGGCCCAGGGTGTGATCCTGGAGTCCCAGGATCGAGTCCCACATCAGGCTCCCTGTATGGAGCCTGTTTCTCCCTCTGCTTGTGTCTCTGCCTCTCTCTCTCTCAGTGTCTCTCATGAATAAATAAAATCTTAAAAAAAAAAAAAAAAGAACTTTTGAGGTTTTTTGGGAGCAGCTATATAACTGAGGTCATTGTTATTTACTGGTGTAGACAGAAGTTGAAGCATTGATCCTGTGATGGTTTCAAGATTGTGTGTGCTTGTGTACATGGGAGTCAGAAGGGAAACTCAGAAACATGTTACTTTTGAGTGTCATGAGTAACCAGAAAGACTTGAATTTGAGCACTGTTAGTGAATGACCTCGTCCATGTGGTTTGGTTCATTTTCTCTCAGATAAAATAGAACTGGGGGACAGTGACCTGAAGATAATGTTAAAGAAGCACCATGAGAAGCGGAAACACCAACCAGTAAGATTGGCTGGGGTGGCTCATTAGTGGTTTTAAGTTCAGTGTCTTTGGATTGGCTATCGGGAGATGAAGGGAGTCACCGTATCATTTATGCTTCCTTTTCTATTGCTGTTAGGGGGCAGGAGCAACCGTAGGGCTAGTTAACACCAAAGATGTGAGAGGAAGACAAATGTTTAACATAGCACCTGATTTAATCTTTATAGCAAGACTGGCCCATGGATCCTTATATCCATTTTGCATTCAGAGAAGTTAAGGAGCTTGTTCTCGGCACCACAGCTAGGAGGTCAGGACTCCAATCTCGTGCCCTTCCCACTTTTTACTCTTTCTGTTACGTCACCAATCAAGGTAATGCCAATGCAGCCAAGCCAGAGAGCATAGGGGAGGAAGAAAGGGCAGTCCATCTAAGGCCAGATGGGGAGATGGGAAGAGTCTTGCATTGGAAATCAGCAAATCCCTGACCTCCTCTGAACCCCATTTTCAGACTGTAAAGTATAGTGATACTTAATAAGACTGTTTGAAGAGCACAGAAGATGAGGAATGCAAAAGAGCTTTATAAACTTTCTATCTACCATACGATAGAAGGTTTGGAAGTGGGTTCTATGCCTCTTTATGAAGGGCAGTAGTTTTTTATCTCCATATATTTTCAATTCACCTGAGTTCCTCAAGTGCATTCAATGCCTGACTATATCTACGTAAATTGGCAAAATCAGTTTTAGCTTCCTTTTGAGGCCTCTGTAACAATCTCTGAATATCACATCCAGGATCATCCGGACCTTTTGACAGGGGACCTGACTCTAAATGACATCATGACTCGAGTAAACGCTGGCAGGAAGGGCTCTCTAGCAGGTAAATGATGTCCGCTGTAGGTAGACGTCATCTGACTGTGGTATTAACGTTATGTGAGCCTGTAAATAAATGAGACCACAGCTTCCTTCCTGCTGATAACCTGTGTTTTCTTATTGCTTCTTGGGGATTTATAGGTGCAAAATGAATATAAAATCAGTACAGCAGATCTTTGACTCTTTAATAGGTGTTTTTTTTTATTTTTATTTTATTTTTATTTTTTATTTTTTTTATTTTTTTATTTTTTAATAGGTGTTAAAATTAATCTGTAAGATCTCTCAGTGGGTCTGGTAAAAACAAAGCAAAAAATAACTAAATGTTTTATGACTTAAGACTCTTCTTCTACTGGTGGGTGTTAGGAAAATAATATGCAGATAAGACCCTCACTTCCTGATAGAAAATGTAGTTCTGTGATTTGTGTGTCTTTTCTTCCTAGCTCTGTATGACTTGGCTGTCCTTAAAAGAAAGGTTAAGGAAAAAGAGGAGAAAAAGAAGAAAAAAATAAAACTGATCAAATCAGAGGCAGAGGATTTGGCCGAACCATTAAGCAGTGCCGACGGGATCCCACCTCTCTCACAGGCCCCTTCTCCGCTGGCTATACCTGCTATCAAGGAGGAGTAAGTGAGCAGCAGAGACTCCTGCTTGAGGGTGAACGGTTAACCTGTGGTGTGCCCAGCACTGTGCTTGGAATGAGCCACTGGGTGTTGAACCTGCAAGACCAGAGTCCCAGGGCACCTGTTAGGGAATGTGTATAGTGTGGTCCTTTATTGAACTTTCATGTGACTGTTAGAAGGTTTAGAGGGCCTAAACCATCTGGGAATGTGTTAAACCATCTTTTTGATGGTTCTTACATATTTTTTCCTTCATTAGGCCTCTTGAAGACCTCAAGCCTTGCCTTGGAATCAATGAAATATCTTCCAGTTTCTTCTCCCTTCTATTAGAGATCTTGCTGCTAGAGGGGCAGGCTAGTCTTCCTATGGTAAGAGTTTTGGAAAACTCAGATGTACATCAATTTTCAAATTGTAGAAAACTTTTTAACAATCTATAGTTGGAGAAGAATTCTGGGTCCCTCCCAAAGCTCTGTAGCTAACTTGCTTTGTGACTATGCTGTGGCATGGCCGCGGCATTGCTGGTGTGGAACAGAGCTCTAACTGGGTTCTGGCTTTATTTTCCCTTAGCTGGAGGAACGGGTTTTGGATTGGCAGTCCTCTCCAGCCAGCTCCCTTAACAGCTGGTTCTCTGCGGCGCCCAACTGGGCAGAGTTGGTGTTACCAGCCCTGCAGTATCTTGCTGGGGAAAGTCGTGGTAAGGTACTTTTTTCCTTAGGGTCAAGTGTTTTCCCCCTTTAATTCATTCTCCTTGTAAACTGCAGCATTCTTGGTTAAATCCATTATGGTTTTGCCTAACGCTGTGCCTTGGGTGGGGAGGGCCTCTGCTGTCCTCATCCACTATGAAACATTCACAAGTTCACTCAGAGCTTAGGGATAGCAGTTACTCTGAGTTTTGCACTCTCTCTGACCTGTGTGACTTGTTCATGTGGTCCATGTCTTACAGCTGTACCTTCCAGTTTCTCTCCGTTTGTTGAATTCAAAGAGAAAACCCAGCAGTGGAAATTGCTCGGTGAGTAATTCATTCTGCCCACACGTAGCAGTGTTTCTCATTGTCTCACTTCCCCCGCTCAGCTGCCTTTGCCTTCTAGTCCTTACAGTCCAGTAGGATGTTGAAAACAATATTATGCCCTATTTTGTTCAGTAAAAAGAAGTCCTTTGTGACTCTTTTGGTATCTCAGAATCGAGGTTTGATCCCTCCCCTGGATTTTGGCTCTCCTGAGCTGGGGTGGGATGGCCTTCCTATGATGATGCCCTGTGGTGCGGATTGGATTGCAGTCTGGGGGGGTACTTTTAACAGTGGCACCCACAGTTATGTTAATCGTGCATAAGCTTTTAGATTAATGTTTCATAGTATAATTATTTTCTTTCCTAACAATGGGATTTCTGTTAAGGATAACGTGCAACAAGATGTCAGACGGCACTGAATGTGCTGTTTCCAAGGAGCAAGATTCTTATTTTTGTTTTAAATTTACAAAGTCCCTCTCACTAAGTAGTAGTGTTATATACCTGACGTAACTCGGTGACTATTAACCGATGATGGTGATAAGAGGAAAATGCCATCTTGACTTCCTACTGAAATTCACTAACCTTTCTTTTTACCCCTTTGAGTGATCTGTGAAGAGAGAGATGGACAGAAGGTTGTGAATGCAGTAGGTTCATTTATTCCTTATAAAGCGTATTTAGCATTTAGGGGTCAGGCATCGTGTTAGGTGCTAGAGTATAAAATGAACAAACATTCATTCAGGTGAAGTAACAAACATACACATTCTGTAAAAGGAAAGTACCAGAAAGGATGGAAGTTTATGATGAGGTGTTGGTATATCCTGCAGAGTCAGGAGGACCTTCCTGAGGAAGGAACGTTTTAGCAGAGATGTTAACGAAGCCTAGGAAGGAGCTCGGCAGGCTGAGGGGAAGAGCACTCCATGTGGAGCGAGCAGTGTGGGTCAGCAGGGCCAGGGAAGATTCGATTCGAATCGAAAAGATCACATAAGCCCACTTAGAGATGAGGATACTCGGGACCTACGGAGCGAGAATGGACAAGTTTGATAAAGTACGTAACCGTAGGACTTGGTTATGCCTGGCTGTGGGGAGTGAAGGGAGGGTGCCGTCAAACATCACTTGTGTTAGATTTGCACCTCGTGGTGAAGATGCCATTCATTGTGGTGGCAGCTGTGGAGGATGTCTCTCCTCGGGTGAGGGCGGAGACCTTGAGTTTAGTTTTGGGCATGCTGAGCGTGAGCTGCCTTCGAGGTATTTAAGTGTCGACGTTGAGTAGGCAGTAGGGTGTGTGGGTTTAGAATTCAGATGGGAGAGTCAAGGCAGAGAGTTTGTTGGCATGTCTACAGTAATGGCAGCCAAAGGCATAGGGAGGAAGCATGACGTGAGGGGGAAATGAGGGCCTTGACTAAGCCTTGAGAAGCTCAGAGGCCGAGCAGGCTGAGCAGGAGAGCCTATGCAGAGGTGGCTACAACTTGGGAGGAAACCATGAAATAGTCATGGAATCTTGGAAGCCAGGGAAGGACACGGTCAGGAAGTGGGGAGCGGTTGTTAGCCTTGATTGTTCCTGAAAGGTCCAGTGAGGTGAAGCCGTGGATTTGAGGACATGGAAGAAATGGTGAACTTCTTAAAAGAGTGACTCCTCACCAGGGTGGGCATCAGGGGCAGTGGCTAGCTGAAGGTGACACGTGATCGCTGACTGTGCCAGGCTGCTGGCTCGGAGTCAGCCTGGAGGGGGAACCTCCCCCCGGGCTGGCAGAGCTTGTAGGACCAGATAATAAGGCTTTTAAGCTTGTGGCCATTTTGCTGATCCCTTGCCATACTGTATCCCTTGGAAATCTGCAGATGCTCCCAGTCAGGTCCCGCTTTGCTGTGGTCAGTTAAACATTTACCTTCACACCTCTGGGTAAAGAGACCATAAATCTAAACACATCTTTTTAGAGTTTTAGCAGGGGACAGGATGATAGTGGCCAAAAGAGGCATTTTTTTTTTCATTGAGAGAAACTGAGTTTAAATATTGATGTTAAGAGTACAGTGATAAGATTGGAAATAATGGAGAGAAGGGAAAATTCACCATAAAAAACCCTGTGGAAAGGGGAAGGGATTGGCCTTGGTTAGCAGGAGACAGCGCAGTTCTTACTATAGGAGGAAGTGGTGGACGCCCAGCGCTGGGCTGTTGGGTGTGTTGAGGGGGTTTGGTCTGATGGCTTTTCTGTGAAAAATCGGAGGCGAGAGAGGTGCAGCTGTGAGAGGGAAGAGAGGTTGAGAGGGTGGGGACGTAGTCCTTACAGCCGTGGGAGACTAGCCTGACCAGAGATCAAGAGATCACGTTAGATGGCCGGCCGGTGTCGAGGCCCAGCGGAGGCTGCTCTGTGGCCCTTTACAGAGGTATTCTTGGCCTTTTGGTGTATTTCCTCTTTGGCAGCCCTCAGCTGTCTTGAGTTAAAGCTTGGAGAACGTGGACAGCTTAGAATTTGAGTGGAGCTGCAGGGGCAGCAGCAGAGGTAGGAGGTATTAGTGCCACTGAAGGGATGGGCACCCCCTGAACCCAGGAGAGAGCGAAGTGTGATGGAAAGCCTTGGACAAGTGCAGGCGCCCATGGACTCTCAGTCCCCTTGAGTCAGAGGGATGTGTTGGTGGGAGAAGTTGAGCAAGCAAGAAGCCTGGCTGGTGGTGGTCAGGGAGCAGAAGGTGGGGGTTGTACCGAGGCTCTCAGCTCTGTGTCTTGCAGGCAGTTGGGGAACTAAAAACACTGATGCCTGGGTTTTACCCACAGAGGTTTTGGTTGATGGCTTGGGTGGGACTAGACCCTCAGTGTTTTTAAAAGTTCCCAGGTGATTATTATGTGTGCGTAGTCAGGGTTGAGGAACAGTGGATTAGGCATCCATGAGGAACAGTGGATTAGGCATGGAATAGTTAGGTAATGGCAGTGTCCAGAGGTGGTTGCGGGAGTGAGGGGCTGGGGTGGAGAGGAGGGAGGATGTCGCGAGGACAGAACCAAGAGGTTTGGACGCTGGCTGTACCATATATGACGCGCCAGTTGCCCAGTGTGGTGGCAGGAAGTGGATGGTGAGGGGCCAGTGCTCTGTGAGGAGTGACTAGGTAAGTAGCTGTGAGAAGCAGGGGACAGGGTGGAACAGGTGGATCGATGACGGTAAGAGCCTTAGGGACCAGGCTTTTGTTTTACTTCGACTTTCAGAAGAGTTGGGGAGAAATAGTATGGCATCAGTGATGGGATGCAAAGGGGAGCTCCACGCTGAAGGATGTGGCTGTGAGAGAATAGGTAGCCAGCGCATCCCAAGGTAGGGCTGCGGAGAAGCGGGCTTCACACCGACCAAGGATGTGGAAGGAGTGATGGGAGAAGAGGATCCAGGCTGTAGGGAAACTGATGATGAAGGAGCATTTCTAGAAGGCAGAGCAGGAATAGGAAGCTTCCAGGATAAGAAAGTTCAGCTCTTTCTGGGCATGGTGGTAGCGTGCCTGACTAGTGGGAGCAGGTAGGAGGGCCCCGAAGTGCCATCGCAGCTGCCTTTGAAAAGGGTAGGCCCTGGGGGGCTGCATTCTCCCTCTACGCAGACCCGAGTATTGGTAGGGTCTGTGGCTTCTGGTCTAGGCAGGAGACACAGGTAGGCACCGTCATGTGATGGAAGATGCCGCAGGAGCCGGAACAAACTAATGGGGAGGGGGCTGCAGAGGGGGGTGCTCATCTCTGTAGGCAGGTCAAGGGTCAAGCCTTTCTCCTGCCTGGGGGCCACCACTGCTGTGCCAGTTGGTACAGTGCCTGTATTGCCCCATTAACGAGAGGAAGCCTTTTCTGACTCCCCCACCCCCTGAGCATAGGATAACGTCCTAGGGTACGCTTCCGTGATACCCTTTGTGACCCCTTCTCCTTTGAGATTTTATTAATGTGTATTCTTTTCTCACCTGACTGTAAACTCCCTGAGAACAGAGACTGAGTCCCTGCGTAACCCTGCCTAGCCTGCAGTGCTTGGCACATGGTGGCTATTCAGTGAATACCTAGGGAATGAGTGATTTACTTAGGGAACATCCAGATGCTGGTCAAGGCCGTACAGGCTGACGGGATAGTAAGTGCAAAGGACCATTGCCCTGTAGGTCCTGATGGCCCCAAGTAAGGAGAAGGTGAGATTTTCAGTAACATCTTAGATTGTTTTTTTTTTTTATCTCCATTATTGTTATTTGCCTTTTTGTTTTTCTGATAGGTCAATCTCAAGATAATGAAAAGGAATTAGCTGCACTCTTCCAGCTGTGGCTAGAAACCAAAGACCAGGCTTTCTGTAAGGTACAGTTTTTAAGAAATAACCAGATCTTTCTTGCTGGGCTTCTGGAGTCCTTAACTTTAAAGCCAAAATTTATTTACCTGTTAATGTTTTCCTTTTCCAGCAAGAAAATGAAGACAGTTCAGATGCCACAACACCTGTTCCTCGGGTGTGAGTATAATACTCTAATGATGGCTGGTAACCCATGAAATGACAGTTTAAGGTAGTTCCTTGTTTTGCTGACATTTTTAAGTATGGTAGAGCCATAGTGAACTTCAGAGTTCCTAGTTGTTCGCTGATTCTTCCCGGCCATAAAGTACCTGAGAAGGGTAACACTCCCATCAGTAAAAGTGGCCTTCTGAGCATAGTGTCCTGAGTTGGGGAGAGGATTGCATAGTAGAGTCTCTGAGGGGGTTGTGATCCACCTTGTAGGAGGGCACACTCCTTTCCCTGAATTGTTCAGTTCCCATTTCAGAACTGTCTCATTCTGCCCATGAGGAAATTGAGACATGAGGTTAAGTGACTTGCTGAAGGTTAGTGACAGGACCTGGTCCAGAATGTAGGCCGCTTGACCACTAATCCTGAGCTGTTTATATCATGTCATTTCATGTGGCTGTTTTCGGTCTGATGTGCACCCCCACCCCCAGCATTGTTGTGATACAGTTGACGTAGGCTGTTGTGTAAGGTTGAGGTTGTACCGCATGGTGATTTGATACACGTATGTATTATGAACCAATGACTGTAGTATTAGTTACATTCATCATGTCACATAATTATCAGCTCTTTTTTTGTGGTGAGAGCATTTAAGATCTCTCTTAGCAACTTCTCCGTGTATGAAACAGTATTGATAACTGTAGTCATCATGCTGTGCGTCAGATCCCCAGAACTTACTGGTCTTCTGACCGGAAGTTTGTACTCTTTGATCAGCCTCCCCCCATCTCCCCCACCCACCGGCCCTTGATAACTACCATTCTATGCCGTTTCTGTGACTTTGGCATTTTTTAGATTCCACGTATGTGAGGTCATACAGTATTTGTCTTCCTCGTCTGATTTTTTTCACTTGGCGCAATGGGCCCGTCTGTACTGTTGGCAAATAGCAGGATTGCTGCCTTTTCTTCATGGCTGCGTAATATTCTGTCTTATGGATGACATACCACGTTTTCTTTGTTCATCTATTGATGGGCAGTTAGGTTGCCTCTGTGTTGAAGCTGTAAATAAGGCTGCAACGAACACAAAGGTGCGCCTATCTTCTCGAGGTAGTCATCTCATTTCTTTCAGAAGTACCCAGATGTAGGATGGCTGGATCATATGATAGTTCTAATTTTTTTTAATCTAATTTTTTGGAGAATCTCCGTATACTTTCAGTAGCAGCTGAAGCAGTTTACATTCCTACCAGCAGTGCACAGCAGTTCTCTTCCCCCTGCCTCCTTGCTAACACTTGTTATTTTGTATCTTTTTGGTAAAAGCTATTCTAACATGTGTGAGGTGGTAGCTCATTGTGGTTTTGATGTATGATTTGCAACTTTTTCTCTCATTTGGTAGGTTGCTTTTTCATTTTGTTGTTTCATTTGCTGTGTGGAAGATGTTATTTGGAATAGTCTCACTTGTTTATTTTTACTTTCATTGCTTGCGTGTTTGTGTCATATCTAAAAAATTGTTGCTGAAACCAATGTCTAGGAGCCTCTGTCATAATGTTTCCTTCTAGGGGTTTTACAGTTTTAGGTGTTGGTTTAAGTCTTTAATTCATTTTGAGTTAATTTTTGTGAGTGGTATAAGATAGAGGTCCAAATTCAGTCTTTCCCATTTGGTTATCCAGGTTCCCCAATGCCATTTATTGAAGAGACTGTCCTTTCCCTGTTGAGTATTCTTGGCTGCATTGTCAAATATGGAGCCTTTGGGTTGACCATATACATGATGGTTCATTTTTGATTTTTAATTGTTTCATTGGCTTATGTGTCCGTTTTTATGCCAGTGCTGTTCGATTTTGACTATTACAATTTTCTAATAAAGTCTGAAATCAGCAAGTGTGATGCTTCCCAGGATGGCATTAACTGTTTGGGATGGTTTGTGGTTCCATATAAATTTTAGGATTTTTTTTTTCTATTTCTGTGAAAAATGATATTGGGCTTTTGTTAGAGATTACACTGAATTGGTGGGTGATTTTTGGGTAATTGGACTTTTTTTTTTTTTTTTTTAAGATTTAGAGAAGAGCAGCAGAGAAGAGGGAAAGTCCCAAGCAGACTCCCTGTTGAGTGCAGACCCCAACACAGGGCTCGATCTCACAACCCTGAGATCATGACCCCAGCCAAAAACAAGAGTCAGATGCTTAACTGACTGCGCCGCCCCCTCACCCCAGTAATATGTACATTTTAACAGTATTTTTCCAATCCACGAAATAGGCAATCTTCATTTATTGTGTGTGTGTGTTTTCAGTTTGTTTAGTCAAATTCTTAGTTTCTAGTGTACACACACATCTTTCACCTCTTTTGCTAAATTTATTTCTGGATAGTTTATTGCTTTGATGCTGTGGTATGGTTCTTTAGGACCCTGAACACCAGCACAGAGGGCCAGCTGAATGTGGCAGGACCGTTGCCTTACGTAACAGGGGTGTAGAACTCCGTTACTCTTGGGAGGAGAAAAACCATCCTTGTCATGTTACAGTTTGAAGTCCTTTGTTCCTCTAAGGCTGAGTTTTTTTTTTTTTTTTCTTTTTGTCATTCGATGGGGTTTATTTAGCAGTAGTACTGAAAACGTAAAAATATCAGCCTCTTTCTCACCTATGTAGTAACTTTCTGGATGTCTAAGTAATTCTCAGAAATCTAGGACTTACTTGGTAGGATTTGGAAAGTGGACTTTTGACCTTTGCAGGAACAGAGTACTAATGAAGGGACGTTTTTTTCATGGTGCAAAGGACTGGTTCTGGGTACTGGAGAAAAGGTGATGGAGGGTGATGATAGAAAATCCTTTATGTTTCAGAAGAACGGACTATGTGGTGCGGCCCAGCACGGGGGAGGAGAAACGAGTTTTTCAGGAGCAGGTAAGAGATCACTAGCACCCAGTGAAAATCACTTCATCTGTGGGGCCATGCAGAGAAAGCTCTGAGCCTGAGTCTCCTTTAGCACAGATTCTTTGAGGAAACTCACACCCTTAACCTTAGATATTCGGTTGGTTGAGATTGTTTGCTGGGGGGTGGAATTGGTGTGAGGAAAGGGAATGCGAAATGTTTCGATGGGCTTTTCTTCCAGACAGTAAAATACACTTCTATTTTTCTCTGTATCTTTGCTAGTGATTAGGGCTCGAGATGATCCTTTTCCCACTGTGGTTGGCTGTGGTATTCCTAGTGGAATACCCCGTTTTCTTGTCTTAGTCTCTCCAGGCTGACCCTTTACTGTATGAGAACATTAGAAAGAACCCCACTGATTGTGACTTAAGGGCCTTGTCTGGTTTCTCTTGGTAGGAGCGTTACAGATACAGCCAACCCCATAAGGCGTTCACCTTTCGCATGCATGGCTTCGAGTCTGTAGTAGGGCCTGTGAAGGGTGTTTTTGACAAAGAGACCTCACTCAACAAGGCTCGGGAGCACTCCCTGCTGCGTTCTGACCGGCCTGCCTATGTCACCATCCTGTCTCTTGGTATGTGTCATCTGTCTCTTGTCAGGGATCCCTTCTTTCTCCAACCAGCTGTCTCTCCCTCACCCCCTGGAAGAGCTGTAAGGGTCTGCTGTAGTTTTAGGAGGCCTTAGAATTTGGGTAACGAAGGGAGAATTCTATCCCCAGAGACTAATGCCAGGAATCAGTGTTTTTTCCCTGATGTCTGAGCTCACATTTATTTTCATGCAGGAATTTTTCACAGGCCAGTGAAATAGCTTGTTTGGGAATTCGCTTTCTCCAGGCTGATTCTGTTTAAGATGAGATTTTTAACCTTTTTTGTGCCATGAAGCTCTTTGGTAGTGTAGTGAATCCTGTACACTCCATCTCAGGATTTTGTCTTTAAATTCATAAAATGAAATGTGTAGGGTTACAAAAACCAGTCTTTATTAAAGTATTTATCAGAATGTTAAATTTATGATGCAGAAATAGATGTTTTTATTATGATATTAAATGACAGCCTCCAGCAGCAGGTCTTATATCTCCTGTAATTTTCAAATAGTGATGAGTAGAAGTGATACTGTGATGGGAAATTGTCTACAGCAGCTGCGATGTGACATGAAAATATTTGATTTCTGATCACGTCGCTGCCAATAGATTTGTTACCTTTTCTCATACCTGAAGGAAATGCTAAATTTCAGTCAGATGTATGAATCTTTTTCCCACCCGAGCTGATGGACCTTAGTGTCGGCTGCAGGTGTGAAGAGTACAGGACACTGCCCCGTTACTGTCATAATAGATGATAACGCTGAGTCTGATTAAAGCAAAGAGACATCTACTCAGCAAGCTACTCCCCACGAGAGCAGGCTAGAGGGTCAGTGCTCGTCACTGGCAGCCTTGCTTGACTCTTGGACTGTCCATTTCCCGATGCTATCAGTTCGAGACGCTGCGGCCCGGCTGCCTAACGGGGAAGGTACCCGGGCAGAGATCTGCGAACTGCTCAAGGACTCCCAGTTCCTCGCACCAGATGTCACCAGCACTCAGGTAAGATGGAAAAGAGATCGTGACTGTTTTGTTCCAGGATGGATTTAAGGAAACTTACAAGGAAATGTAAAGTGTAATAATTTTTTTCAACTGAATGAAGAAGAGGAAAGGAGAAGATCCTGAGAAATGTGACTGGTGATGTCCTAAGACCTATAGTCAGCAGAGCACAGATTTGACTCTGCACGTCAGCTTCTTCTACAGCTGCTTAGTTCCCGGCTCCTGCAGGGGACCGCTCAGTCTCTCAGGAATCTTGTTTTGCCAAGAGATACAGTGAGCCATTGGCAGTACTGCCACCAGGCTAAGATAGGATGTGTGTGTCGGCTGCGACTTACACCCAGCGATTTTTTTCTGGTGTCCAAGTCTGACTTGTCTCTTTTCCCCTTTGGTCTGGTTCTCAGGTGAACACAGTAGTGAGTGGGGCACTGGATCGGCTGCATTATGAAAAAGACCCGTGTGTGAAATACGACATTGGGCGAAAGCTGTGGATCTACCTGCATCGAGACCGGAGCGAGGAGGAGTTCGGTGTGTGAGGCTCTGAGTTGACTAGGGGTGCTTCTGACTCCCTGCCCCAGTTTCGTTTTGCTTTTCAGTGATGTTCAGGCAGGATGGGAGTGATGTACAGGCAGCTATCTAGCCCGCTGGTGAGGCCACCAGTAAGGTCATGGAACCCTCATCCTTGCTATGCTGAGGTTAAACTCTTGCTGAACCTTAACCACTCTTATTGACAGAGCGGATTCACCAAGCACAAGCAGCTGCGGCTAAAGCCAGAAAAGCCCTTCAGCAAAAACCCAAGCCCCCATCCAAGGTGGTAAGTTACCTCTGGGAGCCTTACTGGTGTCAGAGTTGGTGGCAGCTAGGCCTTCTGTGAACTCAGTGCATCGGGAACCGCAGGGCTGTGCCGTCGCTTGGGGACTCTGTTAAACTGCACCCGAATTTCTCTTCTGCCTGTAGAAATCCGGTAGCAAGGAGAGTTCCCTGAAGGTCCTTGGCAGCGGCCCCTCCGAGCAGAGCCAGATGAGCCTCAGTGATTCCAGCATGCCCCCCACCCCAGTCACACCCGTGACCCCCACCACTCCAGCTTTGCCTGCCACTCCGATCTCCCCTCCCCCCGTGTCATCTGTGAACAAAAGTGGTCCTACTACTGTCTCAGAACCAGCTAAGTCTAGCTCAGGGTAAGCTCTTCCATTTTTTTCTCCAGCTTTCTCTTTTTCCAGTAAAGGCCTTTCAGGTGTGTGGCTTAAGTTTGTTTTTTGTCACCCCCGCCCATTTCCTTGTGTCCTTATAGTGTCCTCCTGGTGTCTTCACCAACAATGCCACAGCTGGGAACCATGCTTTCCCCGGCTTCCAGCCAGACTCCACCAAACTCTCAGGCGGCCGCCCGGGTTGTGAGCCACTCTGGCTCGGCTGGACTACCCCAGGTGCGGGTGGTGGCGCAGCCTGGCCTTCCTACTGTGACTCAGCAGTCTGCAGGGCCAGCACAGACGCTGCCGCAGATGCCAGCGGGACCACAGATTCGCGTTCCAGCCACTGCTACTCAGACCAAAGTCGTGCCCCAGGTAAACAGGGACAACGAACCTGGACCCCAAGGTGGTCTGATGAGTCCCGTGGGCAGGCTGTGGAGGGACCGAGGAGCCTTAGATCATTGTTGCTGCTACTGTTTATCACGGCAGCCCAGTTAATGTCCACAGTCGGGTAAGCATGACTAATAAGTTGTATTTTACGTGCTGGGAATCAGAACTTCTGAGAAGTTCAGTGACTTACCCAGCATTGTAACGTCAGGACCTTTATGGAGGTGGGATGGGATTCTAAATCTCAGGCTCCTTCTGTTGTGCGAGTCTTAGCCATACTGCTAACTAGTTGGGTAACTTTAGAGAAGGGTCTTAGCTCCTGTGGACTCAGTTTCCTTTACTGTGAAAGGGGCATAATGCTTATTCTCATTGTGGAGGAATAAAATGGGATGTGCAGTGTAAACCTTTCTGAAAATTAAGATGCTCCACACAGATACAAGAACTTTACAGTGTGCACTTAAGAGTCTAGTGAGCTTGGGCAGCCCCGGTGGCGCAGCGGTTTGGCGCCGCCTGCAGCCCAGGGTGTGATCCTGGAGACCTGGGATCGAGTCCCACGTCGGGCTCCCGGCATGGAGCCTGCTTCTCCCTCTGCCTGTGTCTCTGCCTGTCTCTCTCTCTCTCTGAATGAATAAATAAATAAATCTTTTTTTTTTTTAAAAAAAAAGAGGCTAGTGAGCCTTAGCACTGATAGAGTAGAAGTACTCTCAGGGACATGTCCTGGGTGGTGGCCGGCTGGAGACGGCTTGGTGTGCTGGGCTGCACCTCGGTGTCTAATCAAGCTCTCGGCTTCACACTTGAACTAGACAGTAATGGCCACCGTTCCAGTCAAAGCCCAGACCGCGGCGACCACTGTGCAGCGGCCCGGACCCGGGCAGGCGGGGCTCACAATGACAAGTCTCCCAGCCACGGCCAGCCCCGCGAGCAAGCCGGCCACGAGTTCTCCCGGGAGCTCTGCTCCGAGTGCTTCCACAGCTGCTGTCATTCAGAATGTCACAGGACAGAACATCATCAAGCAGGTTGGTGGACATCTCTCTGGGTGGATTTGACTCCTTCATCCTAAAGCTGGGGACAGTCGGAGGTCTTAATGATTCGTCTTCTTGATCCTTAGTTCGTGGGTATTTCAAAGTTGAATTCCTGCTTCATAGATACCAAAGATGTCTTTTCTGTATAATTTAGCATTTAGTAGTTTCTGGATTTGGTGTAGACATTCCATGAATTTATTTAGTGAAAATTTTGCAGTATAACATTATATACCTTTGTGGTATTTTGGCTTATCTCTGGTAACAGTAGGATACACCTGCACTTCCCTGGCTGTGAATATGCAAGGATTATCACTGAATTCTGAAGAATTGTTAGGCATTGGGGCTCCTGGCTGGCTCAGGGGAGCTTGTGACTCTTGACCCTAGGGTTGTGAGTTTGAGGTCCACTCACAATGGGTGCAGAGGTTACTTAAAAATAAAATCTTCAAAAAATAAAAAATAAAAAACCTAAGAATTGTTAGGCACAGTAGCAGTGATAGATGTGGTTTTTATGTGCTGATGCCATGGAGTATTGAAAGAAGGGAGTTGAGTGTGTCCTACAGCTTTGGGCTTGAGTGATTAGATAGACTGTGATATTATTTACTGAGATAGAAGAAAATACCAAGGTGCAGAGATGGGAATGCAGTCTGAGAGAACGGTGTGTTCATGAAGCCGGTACCTGTGTCAAGGGTATGAAAGTGGGAGTGACATGAGGCTGAACATTGATGACTCATTGGTTACAGGTAATGAGTGCACTTGACTGGCCACCAGTGGATTGGTGGCTGTTTGGGAATGGGTTCAAAAGAGAATGTAAGGTGAGGAAGTGGAGACCAGCAATGTAGGCAATTTTTAAGCAGTTCTGCTTTTGACAAGAGCAGAGAACGGGCTGGAGGGAGGTGTGGAGTAAATGAGGGTCGTCGTCTTTGTAGGTTGAGAAATGTTAAAGCAGGTTTGCATTCTGATGGCAGTGGTCCAGCAGAGAGGGGGAATTGCTCACGCAACAGAGAGAAGGTCCCTGAGGCTAGAAGAGTTGCATGTATTACACATGGGACATCAGCCTTGGATAGGAGTCGGGGTATGAATCCAGCAGGTCTGGCTCCAGAGCCCATGTCGTGACCACATGCCATTTCGGCTGCTCTCAAAATTAAGGGTCACCATAACTTGACTTTTTAAAATTTACCTTATGTTAAAGGAAACACATTTTTTGAAACAGTCGGGAAATATAAATATATATTCTTAGATACTATTTACAGATGATTATTAGGTAATAACAGGTGGGGGCTTTATGTGTGACCTAACATGTGACCTCTCTTGGAAAATGATCGGTGTACACTTAAAAAGAATGCATATTTTGCTACTTTTGGCTGGAATGTTCCATATATATCTGTTAAGCTCATCTGGTCTAATGTGTAGGTGATTATAATTTTTACTTTAAAAAGTCCTGTTCCAGGTGAGAAATGTGTACAGAAGTATTGATCAGCAAAATGATATATATTGTTTACTTTAAAATATTCCAACTCCTCTGTCTACCCCTTCCCCCTAAAAAGGCGGGGAAGGACATAAAACAAGATTGGCAAAATGATCGCTTTGAAGCTGGGTGAGAGTGAGTACATGGATTTGTTATAGACTGTTCTCTACTTTTGTAAATGGTTACCAGTTTTCAAAACAAAAAGAAAAATGTCTGAAACACACATACCCAAGACATGGAGGTTTGTCTCATTACACTGCACAACCAGCTTAGCTCTGTGGACCCCCTTATCAGTGCTGTTTCTTCTCCATCCAGGTGGCAATCACTGGGCAGCTCGGCGTGAAGCCCCAGGCGGGCAACAGCATTCCGCTCACGGCCACTAACTTCCGCATCCAGGGTAAGGATGTCTTGCGACTGCCGCCCTCTTCCATCACGACAGATGCCAAAGGCCAGACGGTTCTGCGAATCACTCCGGACATGATGGCCACGTTGGCCAAGTCCCAGGTCACCACCGTCAAATTGACTCAGGACCTCTTTGGGACAGGAAGTGGCGCCGGGGGCAAGGGCATTTCTGCTACCTTGCACGTCACCTCCAATCCAGTCCATGCCACGGACAGCCCTGCCAAGGCCAGCTCAGCCAGTGCTCCTTCATCCACTCCAACAGGTACCACCGTGGTTAAAGTGACTCCTGACCTCAAGCCAACAGAAGCCTCAAGTTCAGCTTTTCGCTTGATGCCAGCACTTGGTGTGAGTGTGGCAGACCAGAAGGGGAAAAACACAGTGGCTTCTTCAGAAGCGAAACCAGCTGCCACGATCCGCATCGTGCAGGGCCTGGGAGTGATGCCCCCCAAAGCAGGTCAGACCATCACAGTCGCAACCCATGCCAAGCAGGGGTCCTCAGTGGCCAGTGGGTCTGGAACTGTCCATACTTCTGCGGTGTCCTTGCCCAGTATGAATGCTGCTGTGTCCAAGACTGTGGCCGTGGCCTCCGGGGCTGCAAGCACCCCCATCAGCATCGGGACGGGCGCCTCTGCCGTGCGGCAGGTCCCGGTCAGCACCACGGTTGTTTCCACGTCCCAGGCTGTGAGTAACAGGTGGGGGGAAGAGTATCCCTCACGCTTAGGGTAACAGAAAATGCACCCTGTCTGTATCTCTTTGTTTGACCCCAACGGCTTACTTTCTAATGAGCTTTTTTGTTTAATTTCAAAACAAATTTATGAAGTAGTGTATGCATACATTCTTATAAAGATTAAAACAGTACAGAAGTACATAGAATAAAAGATAACATTTCTTTCACTAGTCTCTACTTCTCCCTTCATGAGAGCTGATTACTATTGGTATCTTGGCATTTATCCTTCCAGTCCTTTTCCTGAGCATTCCCATACCGTGTGTATACATAGTTTAAAAAGAGAGCCCCGTGAGAGACCTTAAATCCGTATACTGTTCTGTGATTTGCTTTATTTATTAAAAAATCTGTTTGAGGGATTATTCTAGATCTGACGTGGATATTGACAGCATTCTTTTTTTAACAATACATGGTAATCCATAGAGGGGATATGCTTGAACCTTTCTTTTTTTAAAGACCAAGGTTGCAGTGAACGAACATGTATAAATATTTCTGGAGCGGAGGTTCCTAGAACGGGTCAGGGATACACGTATTGAAAGTTTTGTTAAGTCCAGTTGTGCACCCAAAAAGACCATAGCACCTTACACTCCCATCAGCAGCTCTCCTTTCTCCCCCTACCCTAACCAGTGCTGGATATCACAGGTTTGTTGTTTGTTAACTTTAATTAACTGGTGAAAAAAGTTCTTTTTCTGTTTAATTTCCCTGATCTTGAGAGGGGTTGAGCATCCATTTTGGGATGTGCTGTCCAGTGGTGAATAAATCTTTGCCAATTTTCTTCTGGGGTATTTAGCTTTTTTACATTTTTTGAGGTGGCTCTTTGTATCTTCTGTCTGTTAATTCTTGGTATGTGTAGAAAATCCTTCCTTCCAGTCTGTCATTTTTTAACCTTCCATATGGAGTCTTTGCTCTACAGGTATTTTATCGGATTAGATCTATCAACATTTTCTTTTATGGTTCCTGGGTTTTGTGTCTTGTGCTTTTCTGACTTCAGATTAGCTTTCATTTTTATAAGATATTTTCAGGGTTTTAGGAAAAAGTATAATGGATAATCCATTTGAAATATATTTCCTGAATGACATGTTGTAGAGATGTCATCTTATATTTCTTTATCTCAACATCATTGACTAGTTTATTCCTTACCTACTAATTTGAAATGCTACAGTTACAAAGCAAATTCCCATATCAACATCGGTATGTTTCTGGGTGCCTGTGGATAAGAGCACTATTCTATAGAGTGGGGTGCATATAGACATTAATGAACCCAGTTTTACTTTTCAAAGCAAGCTGTGTGTAGTAAAACCTCAGTAATTTGGGTAAAAGCCAGAGCAGTGGAGGAAGGAGGACATTAGTAAAACCAGCCAGCCAACAAACCTTGAAACACAGTGTGGCTTAAAAGGAAATATTTATTTAGGTTCTCATATCACAAAAGTTAAATTACGGAAGCAAGGAAGCAGTGTGTATTCGCACCACTTGTGTTTCTCTTGCGTTCTCTTCTAACGCAGAAAGGTAGTAAGCCCATGGCATCTCCTCTCCATCACAGTCTAGACAAATACAACCCGAGAGCGTGTGAGGGGCACGAAGTCTGGGGCAGTGATTCTTTTCCTGGTCTAGTCAGCTACCTAGGCTAGTTCACAGAGGGACAATTCTAGCTGGAGTTCCGGTGGTCTGAAATGTTGGAAGCTACTGAGGCATTCTTAAGAAAATAAAACCATAAATAAATCCACCCGGAGGTACCATCTCAAGGTATTCGGTGGCCTGTTGACATCTTTGAGTGCTTTCTGATGGGCTGCACATTGTGAGTAAACTGGAGAGAGGGATGGGTAGCTGTGACACGGTTTCACACCTGCGTGCCTGGCTTCTTTAGAAATAGCTTGCCCTTGGGAAATGTCGATGCCTCCTCTTAGTATCATAGCAACCACTCCTCTTGAATCATTTTTAAAAATCAGATTTACACAAGATGTAACTGTGTATAAATTCTGTTACCAACCAAGGGTTCAAAAGCAGGCAGCCTAAAAACAGGTGGTGCAGTGAGCTAATCTTTGCCATTGAAATCCCAAAGACTCTAGGCCTCTTCAGCTTCTCTTTTGTTCCTTTTAGGCCTTATTGGCTCTGGAGTTGGACTTTTCACTTGGTTGAGTTTATTATTAATGCCCCTTACCTAATAACCTCTCTTTATCTGTGGGAGAGACGGAAAGCACCTGGAAAATGTGACCTGTTCCTAATCTAGCCTGCCCTGCTGTATGCTCCCCACCAGTGAGCCTGCGTTCCAGGGAAGCAGTGGTTGTGCACTTTATTAACTCTTGAGTGCCTCTGCTGTCCTTCTCACACGGACTCCAGATAGTGATTGTGTGCCAGGTGTCGGGAGGTACACAGCTGACTCAGGCCCTACCCACTCAGGGGCTCAGACTCTTACTGCGCCTAAGTGAACACACGCTTTCCTTTTCCATCTAGTGCATGTTCTTATCCCGATAGTAGCATATATCCCGATATATGGTTATTGCTGCTCTGGGTGGTGTGAAGGAGGATGGTTAATAGATCAAATGATACCTAAATGTAGTATGTGAGCATGTAACTGCAGCCTCTTGGCAGCTCCCTGAGGGTGGCCTGGGCCCACACCTCAGAAAGATTGGGCCCCTGCAGAGTCCAGGAAATGAGAGCATCTGAGTGCTTGTGTCTCCGTTCTGGGGCCCTGGAGGTGACCTTTGGTGGTTTTCCTTACCACCGATCCCATAAGCCTGATTTCTTTTTTTCTTTTTAGGGGAAGCTGCCTACGCGGATCACGGTTCCACTGTCTGTCATCAGCCAGCCTATGAAGGGCAAAAGCGTGGTCACGGCCCCCATCATCAAAGGCAGCCTTGGAGCCAAGTAAGTGCCCTGGTGCTGGGCAGGCAGGGCTTCCAGGCGACTCCTTGCTCCACAGCGGAAAGTCAGCTCATTTTTCTGGGGCTCTCCTTGGATATTTCTCCTTTCTTGTGCTCTTGTGTATTTCTTGAGGACCTAGTATTGTTTTAGGTGCTGGGGACACAGAGCAGAGATTAAAACAGACAGAAATCTATGCTGTCCTCAAGCTTATATTGTAGGGTGAGGAAAGAAATCATAGAGTAGATACCACGTGGGGTGGTGATATGTACTATGGGGAGAAAAGCAAGAATAGGGACGGGAAGTGCTGGGATGGGGTGGGTTGGTGATATGGCTCAGATGGCAGTTTCCAGTGGGTGTTAGGGAAGGCCTCACTTTGACATTGAGCCCTGGGCCATGGTAGTTCAGAAGAGGAGGACTTACTGGGGAGCCTAGGCTTTGTGTACTCCTGACCTAAACAGGGATAAAGGGGCTTGATGAGATCAGCCTGGTGGTCTCAAGGCAGCTATTTTGGGGGACATGTCTTGTCTGGAATACACACTTCCCTGGAGTCCTGTCCCTTATTTGTGCTGATGAGAGTATGGTGTCAGAACCATTGTATCCAGAGCACTGAGGGCCTTGGGGCTTTGTGAGAAGCCTAGAAGCCAAGAGAAAGGTGGTCTCACCGGCTGGTTTCCATTTCAGTCCAGAATACAGGAGTCTTCACTGGGCTGCAGATTTCACTGTTTTCCTTAAGCACACGGCCTGGTTCTGGGCCAGAGATAACACCCCTCCTGTCCTGACGCCTCACTCCTGCTTTCCCTCCACAGCCTCAGTGGGTTGGGCCGCAATATCATCCTCACCACCATGCCCGCGGGTACTAAGCTCATTGCTGGCAATAAGCCTGTTAGTTTCCTCACTGCCCAGCAGTTGCAGCAGCTTCAGCAGCAAGGTCAGGCCACACAGGTAAGGGCCGAGGCAAACTGTTGGCCGCATCAGGCTTCTCTCTCCTTTGCTATTTGTTCGCAATTGAGGAGCTCATTTGCAACCTCCTGACCAGACCTCCTCTCTTTGCAAACAGGTGCGCATCCAGACTGTCCCCGCATCCCATCTTCAACAGGGAACAGCTTCTGGTTCCTCCAAAGCAGTCTCCACTGTCGTCGTGACTACAGCTCCATCTCCTAAACAGGCACCTGAACAGCAGTGATTCAGGGAGCGAGAGAGAGAAAGACAGAGAGCGAGAGATGGCGTCCGTGAAAGAGCGCACCCGGTCTGCCCTCCTGGCCGAGAGGAGGGGAGCAGGGAGGTGGCATCGTTCTCCTCAGCTTGTCTGTTTAGGGAAGGACAGCAGTGGGATGATGGCAGCGGTGGTGGCCTGGATCTCCACTGCACTCCACAGTGGAGCACGCCGAGGAGTCCCCCCGGGCTTCCAAGGGCTGTTCATTCCGAGCCGGGAGAAGCTCCTCTGTTAGGGTCGGGTGAGGTCATCGTTGTGCCACTCGAGCCACAGTTCTCTCCTGAGAGCCAGACACCGGGGAAGGCTTACAGCCGCCGAGTGTGCCAAGTGGCCAGAAGCCTCGTTCTGTACGGGGATTAGATTTTTTAGCTTCTGCTCTTCTCCGTGACTAGTGGTCTAGATAGGAGTTTTGTGTCCAGAAATTTTTATGTAACTTATTTTTTTAAAGAACCTGTTGTATATCTTTACCCAATAGAAACCTGGGCCGTAGCCCTCCCACCCTGTCCTCCGAACTGATTGCTGCTATTCTTTTGACCAGAAGAAAATAGCAGAATTCTTAGTAAGTTGGTGGCTGACTTGATCACTACATAGTAACGGGGAGGCTGAAAGGTGGGCAGGAAACCTAGGGAGTGAGAGAACGTGGGTTCCCCCAAGTGGGATGAGCCTGGCACTGCTTCATGAAGAGGTTTCGAGATCTTGAGTGTGGGCCATAGCTTCACCTGCTGACTACGTCCTGCTTGTCAGCCCTGTTCACACCAAAGTCCGGAGCCGGCAGACAGAGTAGGCCAGCGCCAGCAGAAATGCTGCTTTTGTAGCTCAGACGTTACTGCAGTTCAGAGGTTATACGTTCTGCTTTGCTCCAGAGCACGAGTCTGCAAACCACAGCCCTGGGGCTGGCTACTTGTTTTTGTAAATAAAGTCTTATTGGAACACAGCCCACGGCCATTTGTCTGTGTGTTACCATGGCTGCTTTCAGTTAGAAGGCAGACCCAAGTAATTGGCTTGGAGTCCATAGGCCCTCAAGCCCCTTGGGTAAAACTTTGCTGACTTCTCTGGAGTAGAGACGGCACGAAGAGCAGGGTGTGTGCACTAGGAGCAGCACGGTCACGGGAGAGGTCAGTCGGGATTTATCGGTCCTGTCATCCCGGCTGTGTCACACTTCTCAGCCTCCACCAAGCTCTAGGCAGAGCTCTGAACAATGTTTTAAAATGTATTAAGTAATTAAAGCACTGGTTGTGAACAATATGTGCCTCTTTTGTATGGGAGCGAGGGTTGGATGGTAAAGCTTTTGTGCAGTGTCAGGGCTCCCCTGCATCTCTTGAGAGTATCCAGGTTATTAAAAATGTGTCTTCAATCTGTGGAAATGTAGTGATGTTTTCTGGGGACTGGTGAGGAAGTGGACTTGAGGGGCAGGGAATTTCCCTGGCCTACTTGAGAGGGGGGTCTCCAGGTGGAATCTGAGTGATGAGATAGGTTGTGGAGGAACAGAAAAGGCCAGAGGGGCTGGTGGCTTTCTAGACCTCACATTTGAGGCAGTCCTGTAAAATAGACATTGTTATCCCTCTCCTGGCTTCTCACCCCTGTGACAAATTGCGAGTCTGAGTTGAGGTTAAAGAGGAGCAACATAAAAATCCAGTTTTCTAAGTCACCTGTCCTTACTGCTGCCTTCCTCAGGGAGGATGGCTGTGATGTGTCATGCTGAGAGGCGCTGGGGTAAGCCCAAGTTACAGAGGGCAGAGGTGAATTGGCTGAGGGGTGAGCGAGCGTTTGCCGGTAGTGGGGGGCCTGCACAGAGGTCGGACTGGGAAGGGGCAGAGGTAGGGACTGCCAGGACGGAGAAACAGGGCCTTTAGTGAGTGGAGGAGAGAGCACCTGGGTTTTCCAGTACTTTGATATTTGCATGTCATTGCTTCCTAGAGTCACATTTCACGTGAAGAGCCCACGTGACTGTGTCTAAATGAGAAAACGGTAGAAATGTGAGGGATCCTGTCTCAGATATTTATTGCTGGTTAAAACAAACCCCTCCTGAAGTTACTTAACATGATTTCCTGAAAGTAGTTTTGGCATTCAACCCCAGCCCTGCCCCACCCTTGTGTTTTCTGAAGTCACCTGGCTCCGTCTGTCCACCCAGTGCCTGGAGACATTTATCTGTGTGCTCGGGAACAGAGGTGTCGCAGGGTGCTAGTGTAGGACTGACGCCCTGGTGAGCATGGTTTGTACCGCCTGGCTTGTCTGGAGTGCTGAGGAATGGTAACCCCCTGCTGTTGTCCAAGCGATGTACCGGTATCTGCATTGAGCGTGGTTCCTCAGATACAGACCTCAGGGGTCTTGTGGAGATGCGGTGGCTGCGGTGGATGTTTTGGGGAGAACAAGTCCAGAACTCGTGGCGGCCATTGAGCCCCCACACCCAAGGTTCGGAGGTTGGTAAAATTAATTGAGACCGCGTGCCTAAGAGTGGATTTGGTGAATAGCATTGTGGTGGGTTTGGGCTTTAATACCACATCTAAGAACGTTTTTTTCCAGGGTCGATCAGTTCCATGGTTTCCCAAACTGTTGTCAAAGAGGTGTCACAATAAGTTCCTGGGTGGTCGTCACACCTCAACCCCTCACTCTGGAGGAAATACTGCATTTCCTACCCCTGGCCCTTCAATCTGAGATGGAGATCCTTAACTGTGAAGGTAAAATGGGGAATAGGTTCCTGACACCCAGCTCCAGTCCCTAAGGAAAGAACTTATGTTTTATGTTAACTGCCCACAACAGGTCCTCCGGTGCTTACTGAATGGAGGTTTGGGTTCCTACTTAGCAGGCAAACGAAAGTGGATCCTGAAAGGGGACCCACAGGTTCTCTGCTCATGATTAAATCGCGTTTTCAGAGAGCTGCTGCTTAACCCCAGGGATGTGACTTCAGCACTGAAGTGCCAGCTAACCATGGGAGGTCAGCTTTCACTTAAGTGCAGCATTTCCGCCAAAGAGCACACGGTGCTTCACGTAAAAGATCTCTCCTCTATTTGTGTGAAATAGCAAGGAGGCTCTAACGAGAAGTGAGCTGGCTTTTGAGTCCGGAAGGCTGGCTTTAGCTGTGTGGCCTTCGGCTGATCAGCTTCTCTGCAGAACCCCGTGCGCTTCCATTAGGGGCGGCTGTGTGAATCACGTGGGATACGGTGCATTTCAGAGTGCGGGAAGCACCGTACTGTTTGTCCAGAAAGCCTCTCAGATTTGTCCTGGCCCACACTGTTGTCAGTGTGTAGAACTTAATTCACTCTCCGTGTTCTTTAATGATTTCATGGCCTTTGTTCTCTCCGCCTGGAGCATGCTGTCTCTACTGGGCACGCTCCCCATCTCCTCCCCTCCCAGGCGTCTCATGGGAGGTTGTACTTACCCTTATGGCACCAGTCACCCTGCATGCAACTGCTTGCATTTCTTCCCCATTAGACTGAATTCCTTGCTGGACATGGATCTCATTAATCCTTCCCACCATTTCAGTGCTGGTGCAAAGCAGATGTCCAATAAACACTTGTTGAAGGACGTTTTAAAAAAAGAAAAAAAATCCAGAACCAAGATTAGAGTGTCAAGACTTTATATTACTAGTTCAAGGTCCACATCCTTTGCAGGATTCTTACCCTTTGCAGGATTTTTACCCTTTGCTTTCAGCTGTATTTAAATTCAAGGTCTTTATAACCTGCCACTTTTTCCCCTACCTCATTACACAGACTTTCTGTTAGCATCTTCTGATTAGGGTACTTCTGAGGACCTAGAATATCTGTATTCCAGCTCTTAGCTGGGCCATTAACTAGCTTCCTGATTTAAAAACAAAAAAAAAAAAACAAAAGTCACCTTTGGCCCAGTGTCATCACTTATCAGTGGTATTGCAGTACTCTGGAGTATTACTGGTTAAATAGGAAATGCTTAACAGATAACATTTAATGTATCAAAGCTTGTGAACTTTTTTACTTAAAAAAATCTGTGCTGGAATTGTATCTTTAAAATAAAGGCAGTCTCATTTACTTACTTTCTGATAAGAAAGTACCTGTATTCTTGAGAGAAAAAAGGGGATATGTTACCAAAAGCGGTATTTTCTGCCGGATTCATATCCTGGATTCCTCCATGAGGCCACATCCTGTTCTGAAACTTGGAGAGTCTTTGATCTGTCTTCATACTGAGACACAAGTGAAGGCTTGCTTCATTTTTCTTTATGAAGGATACCGCAGCAACACAGACTTTAGTTAAACGAGAAGGTGCAAATGTATAGAACCTTAATCTATAAAACCTTAAGAGCAGACCAAAGCAAGCAAGCATTGAAAGGGAGATGAGCCTCCCCTTTGCACATGCCAGCTGTTCGGACTCAAAGGGGCATGTGCGCCCCACGTCAATGGCTGGTGGCCTCTCATTCCTCATCTGAGCCACCCAAGAGGGACGTCTGGTAAGTGGGATCTGACTTCAGCTTCTGAATGCCAATGATTTCTCCTCCATGCCTCTTAAACCGAGTCAGATGGCTGTAACAGAGGAACAGTAGGAGCCCATGAAATTAGGCCCTCAGATTCGTTTATTCTCTCAACCAAAGGATGTTACGGCATCTACTGGTTCTTAAAGCGTTTTCTTTGTATGTCTGTCAACTACTGTGGTTGTCTGCACATCTCACTTCTGGACGGTACTCATTGGTAGATAGACTCATGACTAGCAATTTTTAATAGTTACTGTTGTAACAGGCTAAACATAGGGCTCCTGTCTCTATTTGTTGTCTCACTGACCAGGCAGAAGAACTAAAGGAAACTGATTTTAAGTTCCCTTCTGTTTGGTCTCCATGGAGCTCTGTGTGGGGGAAGTATATCTGCTTTGGATAGGGGAATCAGAAACTAGAAAAAACGAGGGGTAGCTACAACAGAACTAATCACTAGCATATCCAGAAACGTCACTCGCATTGCAGTTCAAGGCGAACTGACTCAGAGGGTGACCTTGATCAGGTTACTCAGTCTTTGAAGCCTTGGTTTCCCCATCCGTAAAACGTTACAGCACATACTTCATAAAATAATGAGGATTCAGTGGGGGTAGTAGACTTGAGTGCTTACCACAGTGCCGGGGACCGTGAGTGCCTGGGAAGATCAGCTATTACAGTAGCCTGTGACGAGCACTGGAAGGAGCACTCATTGTGACGGCATCCTGATTGCCACATCCCTGGGAGGGAGGTGGGGCAAATCCAGGAATAAGGTGGTGGGTTCAGAAGGACGGACAGAGCAGGGGCCTGCAGTCCAGTACCAAGCCTAATTCAGAGTTTCTCCCTTCACACGGCAGGCATCCAGTCCATCAGCACTGCCTTTGAAACCCGGGTCTGTCAGGTTACTATGACCAGACAGTCCTTTAACGTCTCAGAATCTCATCACCCTCGTTTGCAGGTGTAGAGTACCTTGTGCAAAACTGGGCATAGAGTTGGCACTCAAGTGGTAGACGTTAGAACTGCTTAGTTACGGAAGGTGGGAATAAATACTTCACTGGAAATAAAAATGATGCAGTGTAATAGACTTTGGGGACAAGCTGTGGTTAGGAGGAAAAAGCTAGACAGAAGTTGTCTCCTCTTGGACTTACCAGTACACCAGAGAGTAGCTGATGGCCACAATGCAGAGGGCAGCCAAATAGTGCCAGCAGAAGCACATGGTGACGAACATGATGTTAGCGTCATCTTTCTGGTCCCATTCCGGTTCTCCAGAAGGTGGGAACAGCACGAACCCGATCTGGTGGGTTTAATACAGAGAAGCCGGCCTTCGTTGGTCCTGAGAAGGAAGCTCGCTGCCTTCCCGTGGCTACCCAAGTTGTCCATACGTCCCCCACTCCCTCATCCTTCCCATACCTCCATCAGCATAGAAAGGCCTTTCTGTGCTGGAGAATTGCTCTAAGTTAATTCTGGTTTTAGTACAGGCTTATCTAAAACAACATTTCAGGGCCTGCGTCTCAAGTGAGCAGTTTAGCAGGTGGAGCCTGTAACAAACTATAGAAATGATCCTTGAAAGCACTCTTGCAAGTGGAGCCTGTAAACCGATGGTATCAGTTCCTCCACTGGGGAGAGCGGATGGGGAGTTTTGGGAATATGCTCCCTAAGTATGCTCTGCGGGTTCAGCAGGTTCAGCCGGTCAGTTTCTCAGCACGCTACTCATGGATAAAATGACCTAAGTCAGAGGGGAGCACGGGGAGGACAAGTGGCCACCTAACCCCCTTCACGAGCGTGTCCGTGCTGCGCTGCCGGACGTGCCTTGGGCGAGCCCAGTGGGGCTCTCCGAGTCCACACAACGTGAAGAGCATTGTTTTGCATGATTACCTGCCAGAACCAGGTGCCCTGGAGAATCACAAGACTGGTTCGGAAAAGTTGCAGCACAATATTGTCCCGGAGGATCACTTCTAGGAAGATGCTGAAAGCCCCTCCGAACACTGCACACAGCAGCAGGGAGTGGATGTGCTGGTCCAAGGGCGGCCGGTTATGGACGTGGTAGTAGAAGAGAAAACCTGCACAAAGCAATTTCAGCCATCACAGAGGAACTTGGGCAAGTCCATCTGGAACTTCTTCTGTTGCTAGAAAGCCTTCCTACCCCTGTCTCACAGCTAGATTTTTCAGCAGTTGGGGGATCAGTTCATAGAACATTGCAGGACAACCAGCACAGATGAGGTTTATTTTGCGTATGTATGAAGTGGACGTAAGCTGCAAAGGCTGGATCTTTTAAAATCTCTCTCTACTCGATACAGGACGTGTAGGTGAGGCATGTTGCTGACCTGTGACGGATTGTGCATGCATGTACTTGAAATTCAGTTTTGCTCTCGTTCAGCCAACCTTTTTATTTTTTATTTTTTCTGACTCTTCCTGAGGTGCAGGAGTAAGTGAGGTTGTTGGGTTACAGAATGCTCCTGTAGGAGTTCCTATTGGGAGCTCTGTCCTAGCTGCTGGGTGGGCCTCCTGAGGTTTGTGATGATGGGGTCCAGACAGCAACGCTCCAGGGTAGGAGGTGGAGTTCGGTTTCTCTTCCCCCAGCAGAGGGAGCGACCTTCTGGGACGGTGGCATCCAGCCAGAGCTTGGAGAGTTACTGTGCGTCTCACTGCGATGTGTACACGTGCACTCATACACGTGAGCATAAGGGGAGGGGGGCAGCCAGTGTCTGTGCCCCGAGAGCCAGGGACTTCGGCTGCACATCTTATGTTTTCACGTGCTGCTTTCTGGAACACGTCACCTGTATCCAGAGCACAGGGCCAAGCCCTGTTCAGGTGTTCTGAAATTCAAACGTTTGGGTTTTCTGGGGGAAAGTTACTGTATTGGCAGTATTTCTCATCTTTCTGCCCTGATCCCCCATAATCACAATTTATCCATGTCGTTTTGTCCATTTCTACCCGAATCCCTAAGTTACCTTCGGTGAATGTTGCCACAGCCATAACCAATCTGTCCAGCCCCAGGGGGACGTGGGTGATGAGATAGGTGAGCATATCCATGATTCCCGAGACGGCAAAGAACAAATACATGGTGCTGTGCTGCCAATTCATTAGCTTTACCCACTGGTTTTCATGGTACAGGTGGAGGTGGGGCCCGTCTGGAACGAACTGCTCCGCCAGGATCCCTGCAGGGGGATGAGAGTACAAACTGAGGAGGGCAGAGGGACTCCAGCACGGGCAGGAGACAGTACCCCCGCAGCCTGAGTGACGCTGAGCCCAGGGTGGAGGTGGCCTCAGGTCACGAGGCCTGCTCTGCTCCCTCAGATGCAGCTACCTGAGTGCAAGGTGAGGTATTTGCCGAGGAACCTGCATAGACCCCTGGCCTTTGTCGTTCCTTTGGGGGTTGGGGTGTGAGGGAAGCAGCCATAGCAACAGCCACCTGGGTCCACAGGATATTTGCCTAGTCGCTTAGCGGAAAGCAAGGCACTTACCACGTAAGTGAGAAGGTAGCTGATACATTAATCTTTGGGCTAAGTGAGCAAAAATCCTGGAAAGAAACCATTAGGTTGAAAATAATGGAATCCCAGCCGAGATACCCTGGTTGTAGAGATACTTGTGCATGCGCAAAGGGGTGAAAAGCCCTTCTGAAAGCCCTTTTTGAAAATGCCCAGGTATGTGGTCCTCAGGGAGACCTCAAGCGAGTGGTTTTCCTGAGCACAGAGTGAGCTCTGTGAGTCCTTCCCATGGCTTCAGGGCCCCGTGTCCTAAACACTGGGGGAACCGGGAGGCTCGCAGTTCTTAGCTCTTCTGCTCCATCACCTGTTTTGGAAGGCAAGAGATTGGCCTTTATGCCTGGTACTCAACATGTCCTTGGGGCCTAGAATAATCCTCCATGACAACCTTCTGGACCCTGTTCCCCAAACAGTTTTTTCTTAAACCCAGCCTCTCCCTGATTTATGTGTGAAGGATCAAGGAGTTGGTGGAGAGGAGCCCGGAGATGGAAGTCCCACTGCACCAGAACAGAAGCCCTGTGAGGGCAGGGACTCTGGTTCCCCCAGCCGTGTCTCCCAAACCTGGAAGAGTGAGTTCCTGTACTGGGTGGGAGCTCAGGGAGATACTGTTGAATGAGTAGTATTTGCACCCAGCAGAGGCCAGATACTTTGCCAGCTCTCGTTTTCTCGGCAGCGTGGATGCTGTCCTTAGCACTGAAGCTGTGTAGTTCCTGTCACTTCTCGACTCCAGAAAGAGGAGATGCCCGAATGACTGGTGGATGGGAAAATTCAGCAGGACTGGGCAAACAAAGCTAAGTGCCTTTGCATGCTCCAGAAGGAGCTCCTGGTGTTACTTCAGTTCCTCCTGAGACACTGTGGGCCTAAGATGACAAGTGGCTAGGTGCAGTTGCAGAATGAAGCCCCCCCCCCGCCCCCCCCCCCATGACGGGCTGGTGCGGACGAAGAACACTTTGTGCTGTTGGCATGGCAGGCACCTTCTCACGTGGCCACTAGTGGGGTGGAATGGATGGCGAGTCAGTGGGAGTGTGTGGGTTTTGTTGGAACGGGGCACAGTAAAGGGAGATCCCTTCCAGACAGCCCTCTGTTGGTTCCTTCAGTCCCTGCCCCTGCCTCTCTTACCGGCCGTCTGGCATACAGTCCCCATTTTTGTGATTGCTTGAGATGTGGGGGTGGAGGGTATGAGTTAGGTGGTAACTACTCTTAAGATTCTAGTGGAGGAACAACTGGAAACATGATGACTTTTCTGAAACCAAATTCCACTTAGTACTTTCCCTTAGCTCATGTACGTGAGCTTGCTCTTATTATTTTTTTCTAACTTGTGTTTTATCTTTTTCCTTAAGTATGTCTTCTGTTCCTACAACTTACACCTACATCCTTCTAGGGCAAAGAATGTAGTTCATTTGGTAGTTTTTCATGGTGCACTGTGATGTCAGGTGCTGTTAATAGTCACAAAGCTCAGGACACAACAGACTCTATAAAATATGTCATGGCCAACTGAAAACCCTTGTTCTATTATCTGCCCATGGAAACAGCCATTTCACAGGGTCCAGAAAGTGGGTTAAAGTTTCGGGGTGTGATGGGGCGATCCCCTGGACCATACGGCCCCCTTCTTACCAACAACTGAAAACAAAGTTCTGATCGCGGCTTCAATGATCTCAAGACGCTGATGGTAATGAGTCAGTTGGCTTCTCTTCCCCTTCTGGCGGAAGTACATCAGTGGGTACTTCACTGACCACCACAGTCCAACTATCAAGAAGAAACTCCCTGGGAGAGCATGGCCCTTGAAGTTTGCCATCACTGTTCTTGAGCACCTGAGAAAACAGGGGACAGCTGTCAGGTGGCTGCATGAAGAGAACACAAATAGATATATTGGCAGGAAACACCGTATGTGACTGAGGATTCTAAATCATAAGCCATATTAAGAAGGATCCACTCATTTTCATAAGCCTTCGTGTTATGTCATTGAAGTCTTGTCTGCTGAGTAAGTGCCCAAAAGAATACCTCTGGCCCTTAGGCTTTAAAAACATGGGTAAAATAGGAGCACCTGGGTGGCTCAGGGTCCTGGGATCGAGCCTGATGGCAGGCACCCTGCTCAGTGGGGGGCCTGCTCCTCCTCCTCCCCTCTGCCGCCTCCCTGCTCGTTCTATCTCTCTCCAATAGAATCTTAAAAAAAAATGGATAAAATAAAAGGAGGTGTTGGGGAAGAAGATAGATATTTACTGATCACAGGGTAGGAAAGCCTAAAAATATTTACCTACATAAATATTTTACGTATCAAATACATCAGAAGGCAAACAGGTCAGGAAGACGTTTGTAATAGTTACGATAAATGGCTAATGTGTTAGTCTTTTGCAAATTAGTAAGAAAAAGACCAGAAAAATGGGCAAGAGATAGGAATGTGCAATTCACAAAATGATGCAAATAGATAAGTCTCCTTTTAATTGAAGATGTGCAAATGAAAGCACAGTATCATTTTCCACCTATTTTTTTAAGGACTTATTTGAGAGAGAGCTGGAGTGAGCAGGAGTGGGAGGAGCAGAGGGAGAGAGAGAATCTCAGGCAGGCTCCCTGCTGAGTATGGAGCCCCCCCGGGGGGCTCAATCTCATGAGCCTAAGATCATGATCCGAGCTGAAATCAAGAGTAAGATGCTTAACTGACTGAGGCACCCAGGCGCCCCTTCCACCTAAATTTGAAAGTAATTTGAAAAATTAGAGATCTGATGTAGTCTTCTAGTTTAGGTATATGGTCAATATGATTCAAATTTGGTGGAAGTAAAAATAATTCTATAAACACCGTCTTACTCCAAAAAAGATGTCAGGCATGATTTATTTTTATCCCATTGTGTTCCCGGGAGGAGCATCAAGTGCCTGTGATCTGCACAGACTAGTCCAACCCTGGCCATCAGGGCTTCCACTCTCCTATCACTGGCTCCAAGGTCCGGGCTATTTCACATCCGATGCATCTACAGTTGAGGTTTCCACCCTTCAGCAAGAACTTTCACAAGCTTTAAAAAAAAAACCCTTAGAGTTAAGAAGTCAAATCATATTTAAAAGGCCTATAGTGAGAAGCAGCAGCCTTGTGCTCCGACTTCCTCACCCACCAGTGAAGCCACTTTTACACCCTTTCCATGGTTTCATCTGGTATTTACGTGCATGATTTCTCATGAGTTTGTGAACGCTGCCATTTGTCCATTTATCTTTATGAGTCATCATCTACCCGGGGTCCTCGGGCTCTCTGCCAGCCTAGCCTCTCCCTCCTCTTCACGTCCACCGTGGTCACCTGACAGTCATTTGCCTAGATCATCTGTAGATTCAGAGTCCTTACCAGGGCCGCTAAGCCCTCTGCGATCCTGAGCTATCTCATTGACCTCTCCTGCCCCTCCAGCCTGCACCTTGGGGTCCCGTCCATTGCCTCCCATTCCCAAGTACAGGCAGCTCGGGCTTTGGGGCTCTGTGTTATTCCTACCCGGTTTCCCACAGACAGCCAACAGGCCTCGCCTTCACTTGACTCAGGTCTCTGTCCAAATGTTCCTTTATTCCCTGACTACATTGTGTAAAGATGTAGGCATGTCCCACTTTTCAATTCAGGTCTACTTTTTTTTTTTATTTTTTAGAGAGTTTATCGTATGTTTATTATTCACAGTTAATCACTACCTACCAAATGGCATCCAGGTCTACTTCTTAATGTTCTTTAAAGTTTGCATGGGTCACTATCAAATATTTGTGGAAGGAATACATGCTCATCCATGTAGTATATTGTGTTGTTTTCACCATTTTTTTAGAGCTGTTTTAGGTACAACAAAATTCAGAGTAAGGTACAGAGATTTTTCATATACCCCTTGCCTGCACACATGCGTGGTCTTCCTCATTGATGTCACTCACCAGATTAGTATTTCTTTCTTTTTTTTTTAAAACCATAGATGAATCCACATTGACATGTCATAACCACTCCAAGGTCACAGTTTACCTTAGGATTCACTCTTTTTACTTTTAAAGATTTTATTTATTAGAGAGAGAGACAGAAACGATGTGAGCATGGTGGCAGGGAGCCTGACACGGGGCTGGATCCAGGACCTGGGGACCATGACCTGGCTGAAGACAGATGCTTAACGGACTGAGCCACCCAGGCGCCCCTAGGGCTCACTCTTGATGTGCATTCTATGGACTTGGACAAAATTATAATGACTTGTTTCTGTCATTATAAATATCACACAGTATTTTCAGTGCCCTAAAAATTGTCTGTGCTCTGTCCATTCATCTCTCCCCCTCCCACTCCCCTGACACCACCCCTTTTTACTGCCGCCATAGTTTTGCTTTTTCCAGAATGTCAGACATTGGATTTGTATGTTATGTAGCCTCTTCAGATTGGCTTCTCATTTAGTAATATGCACTTCAGTTTCCTCTGTGGCTTGATTTGTTTTTTTTTTTTTTAAAGATTTATTTGAGAGAGAGAGAGAGAGAGAGAGAGAGAGAGAGAGAGAGAGAGAACTAGCACAAGCGGGAGAGGGGCAGAGGGAGAGAGAGAAGCAGACTCCCTGCTGAGCAGAGAGCCCAACATGGGACTCGATCCCAGGACCCGGAGATCATGACCTGAGCTGAGGGCAGGCGCTTAACCGACTGAGCCACCCAGGTGCCCCTTCCATATAAACTTTATTTATTTATTTATTTTTTTAATTTTATAAATTAATTTTTATTGGTGTTCAATTTACCAACATACAGAATAACACCCAGTGCTCATCCCGTCAAGTGTACCCCTCAGTGCCCGTCACCCATTCACCCCCACCCCCCGTCCTCCTCCCCCTCCACCACCCCTAGTTCATTTCCCAGAGTTAGAAGTCTTTATGTTCTGTCTCCCTTTCTGATATTTCTCACACCTTTCTTCTCCCTTCCCTTATATTCCCTTTCACTATTATTCATATTCCCCAAATGAATGAGAACATACACTGTTTGTCCTTCTCCGGTTACTGTGGCCAAGTTCAAAAAGGGTGTTGCCTGAGTTCTCCTCTGGGATTTTGATGGAATCTTGTCTCACATTTAGATCTTTCATCTATTTTGAGTTTATCTTTGTGTATGGTGCAAGAGAGTGGTCCAGTTTCATTCTTCTGCATGTGGATGTCCAATTTTCCCAGCACCATTTATTGAAGAGACTGTCTTTCTTCCAATGGATAGTCTTTCCTCCTTTATCGAATATTAGTTGACCATAAAGTTCAGGGTCCACTTCTGGGTTCTCTGTTCTGTTCCATTGATCTATATGTCTGTTTTTGTGCCAGTACCACACTGTCTTGATGAACACAGCTTTGTAGTACAACCTGAAATCTGGCATTGTGATGCCCCCAGATATGGTTTTCTTTTTTAAAATTCCCCTGGCTGTTTGGGGTCTTTTCTGATTCCACAAAAATCTTAAAATAATTTGTTCTAAGTCTCTGAAGAAAGTCCATGGTATTTTGATAGGGATTGCATTATACGTGTAAATTGCCCTGGGTAACATTGACATTTTCACAATATTAATTCTGCCAATCCATGAGCATGGAATATTTTTCCATCTCTTTGTGTCTTCCTCAATTTCTTTCAGAAGTGTTCTATAGTTTTTAGGGTATATTTTGAGAACCATTTGAATGGTAAATGGTTCTCCAACCTTTTATTTTCAGGTTGTAGGTGTCCTTCTGTCTAAAATGAGTCTCTTGTAGACAGCAAATAGATGGGTCCTGCTTTTTTATCCAGTCTGAAACCCTGCGCCTTTTGATGGGGTCATTAAGCCCATTCACGTTCAGAGTTACTATTGACAGATATGAGTTTAGTGTCATCATGATATCTATTTAGTCCTTGTTTTTGTGGATTGTTCCACTGGACTTCTTCTTAAAGGGGAATTTTAAGAGTCCCCCTTAAAATTTCTTGCAGAGCTGGTTTGGAGGTCACATATTCTTTCAGTTCCTGCCTGTCTTGGAAGCTCTTTATCTCTCCTTCCATTTTGAATGAGAGCCTTGCTGGATAAAGTATTCTTGGTTGCATGTTCTTCTCATTTAGGACCCTGAATATATCCTGCCAGCCCTTTCTGGCCTGCCACGTCTCTGTGGAGAGGTCTGCTGTTACCCTAATATTCCTCCCCATGAAAGTCAGGGACTTCTTGTCTCTTGCTGCTTTAAGGATCTTCTCTTTATCTTTGGAATTTGCAAGCTTCACTATTAAATGTCGAGGTGTTGAACGGTTTTTATTGATTTTAGGGGGGGATCTCTCTATTTCCTGGATCTGAATGCCTGTTTCCCTTCCCAGATTGGGAAAGTTTTCAGCTAGGATTTGTTCAAATACATATTCTGGCCCTCTGTCCCTTTCGGCGCCCTCGGGAACCCCAATTAAACGTAGGTTTTTCTTCCTTAGACTGTCATTTATTTGCCTTAATCTGTCTTCATGGTCCCTTAATTGATTGTCTCTTTTTTCCTCAGTTTCCCTCTTTGCCATTAACTTGTCTTCTATGTCACTCACTCGTTCTTCCACCTCGTTAACCCTCGTCGTTAGGACTTCTAGTTTGGATTGCATCTCATTCAATTGATTTTTAATTTCTGCCTGATTGGATCTAAATTCTGCAGTCATGAAGTCTCGTGAGTCCTTAATGCTTTTTTCTAGAGCCACCAGTAGCTGTATAATGGTGCTTCTGAATTGGCTTTCTGACATTGAAGTGTAATCCAGATTTTGTAACTCTGTGGGAGAGAGGGCTGTTTCTGATTCTTTCTTTTGAGGTGAGGTTTTCCTTCTAGTCATTTTGCTCAGTGCAGAGTGGCCAAAAACAAGTTGTATTGGAACACGGGGGAGTATC